TCTCGGACGAGGTCTCGGACGAGGTCTCGGACGAGGTCCGCAGGTCCGCGCCGAGGCCGTGCCGCCTCTCCACAATCTGTCTCTCTCACATTCCTGCCGGACGCTCCGTGAGTGCGAAAGAGACAGCGCGACGAAAGCACCGCAGTGGCGCCTTGCTTCAGCTCCCAGCGGAGTGCTTCCGCCACTTCCGCGTGGACATCGGGGACGTGTGAAGCAGAGTGGAGACCCTTCTACATTAGCGTGCAGGCTCGTTCCGAACAGCGCTTTCTCTCTCTCCCTCTCTCTCTCACTCATGAGGCGTCCGGGAGAGGTGCGAGAGAGACCGCGACGTCTCGCTGTGCGGAATCAGTCTGCAGCCGGGCAGATCACCGCGCTGTGCCGCAAAGTGCCGCCACTCTGTGCCCCGCCGCGCTCCCCGCCGCGCCGCCGCACCGCCTCGGCAGGGCTGGCAGGGCTGGCAGGGCTGGCAGCAACAACACGCCCGCGAGCCCCGCGAGGAAGGGGCAGGAAGGGGAGGGGAGGGGGAAGGAAGAGGAAAGGAAGGGGTACCTGGGGTCGACGGCCGCCGCCGCGCGTGGCAACGCCGGGGTGCGAAAACTGGGTTAAGATTTGCCATTGAACCCGTCACTGCGTTGCCAAGTGTATTCGCGAGACCGCGACGCGCCGCCCTGCCCTGACGTACTAGCACCGCGCCGCGCACCTCGCCCGCGCAGCGATGCACCAAGACGACGTCCGCGATGACGACGACGAGGAGGACGACTGCCAGGCCCCGGAGGTTCGCAATGCAGTTGCCCTAGGCCCTAGGGCCAACGTCCTAGTCCCCAATTTTACCGTCGGCAACCGTAACGTCCTGTTCTCGTGCGCCAACGCCGAGGCCGAGGAGGGCCGCCAACTGAGGGCCGGCGACGGCCGGCGAGCACTGAAGGCACTGAGGACCGCGCCGAGGAGCTCCAGGCCCAGGCCAAGGCCCAGGCTTGGCCCAGGCCAAGGCCCAGGCTTGGCGCCACACCTCACATGGCCAATGGCCACTTTTGGGCTCGTCCGCGGCCCGTCAACCAGAAAGGGGTGGGGGCCGGCGGGGCGGACGGGGCGGACGGGGCCGGCGGGGCCGGCGGGGCCTGGGCCCGGGGCCACTGCCCCCACTCGTGTGACTGGTCAATGCAGCTGCATCGCGCTTCGGTTGCCGTGGCTGCCTTTGGCTGTCTTTGGCACATTCGGGACTGGACTTGGCAATGAAGGGGACGACCGGACAGGGCCGGACAGGGCCGGACAGGGCTCCACAAATAGACGTCCCCCGCCCTGCCTCCCTGCCTCTCCCAGCCGAAAGCAGCAGTCAAGTCCTGTAGTACTACAGACTGCGGGCGTGCGTCGCGAGTTGCAAGTTGTTCGCTGTGCTTGCTGGCGGGGCTGGCGGGGCTGGCGGCCAGGTGTCCGAAGGTCAAAGATCGCCTCGACGCCGCGACGCCGCGACGCTCGCGCAAAATGTCAGGCGGCTGCACTCTGCACTGCGACGTCGGCAGGTCGGCGTCGTGGTGAACACGGCTCCGGCCGAAAGGGTTCCACGTCCCCGCCGGGCTGCACGGCTGCACGCCGGGTTGTGTCAGGCTCACTCCTCTCGCCGCGGTAGCCGCAGCCGCGGCGCGGTGGCCCGGGCCACCAGGCGGCGGGCCCCGGCCCAGAGCCCCGAAGCTCGCAGAACAGGGGCTCCGTGCAACTCCGTGGTCTCCGCGAGGGGCTGTAGGCTGATTCTTTACACCTTCTCATCGCTCTTCGTCTCTCTCGCACGCCAACGTAACGCCCCGGGAGTACGAGAGAGACAGAGCGACGAAAGCACTGCTCGGATTCAGCCTGCTGGGACGGGCTGGGACGGGCTGGGGCGTCGACCCCACAGCGCCTGCTTGTATTGGCCTGGGGCCACGGGCCGCCACGGACCCTGCGGGGGCCGGGCCGCGAGCGGGGCCCTGGAGCCCTCCGCGGGGCCCAGCCCAGGCCCGGGCCCCAGGTCGTGGCCACGTAGCCACGCAGCCAAGCAGTCGCATTGCACGATTGGGCACTTCTTGTCGGTGGACGTGGCCGTGGCGGCCGGGCGCCCCCGCGGTGGTTCATGGCGGTTCCCTCCAGGGGTGGGCGGCGGCGGGCGGTGCGCGCGGCCGGGCGATTTGGCCCAACTCGAGAGTGAACCCCTAACTTGAACTTACGCCGCTCCGGTCCTTCTCTCTCGTTCGCCACTTCCGCCTGGGGCGGCCTGGGGCGGGCTGGACGGGCTGGGGCTGCTGGGGGCCTCGTCGGTCATGTGCCTCTGCTCTCGGAGTTCACTCCTCCTCCCCCTCCTATGCCTCACGCACGCCTACCTGCTCGTAAATTTCCCCCAAATTACAGGTGTAGCAAGGAAGCTCCCTTCCTTCGCGCATGCTTCGCGGCCCCGCGGCTTCGCGGACGGAGCGTGGCGTTGCCGTGGCGTGGCGTTGCCGTGGCTTGGCGTTGCCGTGGCGTGGCGTTGCCGTGGCGTGGTGTTGCCGTGGCGTGGCGTGGCGTGGCGTTGCCATGGCGTGGTGTGGAACCGCGGTGCGGGCAGGGGCGGCGGTCAGTAGGGGTCGACGATTCGCTCCTTCGCTCCGCCACCAGGGCGACGGGGCCCTCCATGGCCTGGACGCAAGCGTGGACGCAAGCGTGGACGCAAGCGTGGACGCAAGCGTGGACGGGATGGCTGGCGGCGCGGCGTGTTGCGGCCCGCGGTGCGACGCGGTGCGACGCGGTGCGACGCGCGGCGCGGCGAATCGGGTTCGTTGTCCTTTCCGGCCCTCTCTTAGCCTCTTAGGCCCCCTTCGCAGCCTACGCAGTCTTGGCTAAATTTTATCCATCCCTACTTCGAGAAAAGATGATACACATCACTTGATTCTAATGGGGCCCTGCCTCGGCAGAGACGCCGGCCCCCCTGGAGAGCTGGCCACACCTTCCAGTCATTACCGATCCGCGTGACACCACTGTGACACCAGTGTCGCGCTGTTTGCCAGTGTGCGTGATTGCCGGCCGAGCTCGGCCAGCAGACTGGGTCTGTCTCCCTCGCACCTGCGCGGTATACTCCATGAGTGCGAGAGAGACAGAGCGACGAAAACGACTCTCAGTCTGCAGGCCCGGCCAGGCCGGCCAGGCTCGGCACGTGAGTGAGGCAACACTAAGTCAGACGATCCGCCAGGTTCGTGAGAAAGACGAAAGACCAGCAGCCGGGGGTCGCTGAACTGCTGATGAGATCACATCACCGCATTGGATCAAAATTGCCTTCGATGACGCAAACTCCAGGGCAGGGAACGCAAACTCGGCATGGCGTTTTGGCCGATGGGGTGACTGGTTCGTACAGGGAATTCAATAGAGGACCCTTTTGATGATAAATAACAAACGAAAATGGAAAAGGGAGGCGTTTCTCCGGCGAAGTCGGTGTGCGAGCGTGTGACGGGGCGTGGCAGGAGGCGCGGGGCGTGGTGGGGTGGGGCGCGGCGGGGAGGGGGGGATGGCGAGGGGCGGCGTGGTGTGAGCGAACTCGAACAAGGCACAAGAATTTCAGGATGGTTCATCACGTCTCATCACGGCCAGGCCGCGCAGGCCGCGCAGGCCGCTCGGCGCCGCGGCTGCCTGGCCGGTCGCGCTTCGCGGTTCGCGTTTCGCGCTTCGCAGACGAGGCGTGCATTCCCCATCCCGCGTCGCGGCGTCGTGACGCATCGCAGAGACACCGCGGATACATCGCGGGGCGGCCGTCCAAACGCGTCAAAAAGACGCAAGCCGCTCGGGTGCAACGCCCCTCAGCCCAAACATGCCCGCCCCCTTCCCTTCCCCACCCCCGGTCCACGCCTGGAGACGGACGACGGGAACGACGGGCAGCACGACGGCGGCCGTGCGCCGGGTGCGCGGGTTGCCGCCTCCACCGGCCCGAAGACTAAGACTCCAGCTGCGGCGGTTCGCGACGAGGCTGCACTGCCGGCCCTGCCCATCCTCCTTTCCTTTTTAACCCCTCTTTCCCACCTGTTCGCTCTGAATGAAGAGCGGAGAGCGCGCGCGGTCCCCCAGGTCCAGGCCGGGCGTCCCCGGACCGACCGCCACGTCCCGCCCCGCCCTCCACTACGCCGGCAAGCCCAGCGGCCCCAGCGGCCAGGCCAGTGAAGGGCGTTCACACTGTGACCCAGTGCAGAGAACAGCACTGCTGCAGCACTGCGCTGCGGCATGGCCAGGCGGCCAGGCATGGCGGCCGCAGGGCTGCCCAGGCTGGCCCAGGCCGCGAGTGCGAGAGAGATGGTCGCTTCACTGGCCGGGCCGCAACACCTCATCACAGTTCAGCAACCCGGGGGCCGCGTTCGAACTCCACGTCACGACCGCGACGCGGCGACGCGACGCCCAACGCATCGCGCCGTCTCGCTCGCACAAGCGGCGGCTCAGCTTGCGGCCGGGGCAGGAGAGAGGGAGAGAGAGAGAAAAGAGGGGGGCGCCTGGCGTGGCGCGGCGGCCGCAGGACGAGCCAGGCCTCAACTACTTGCAAAGCCGGTTTGCGAAAGAATGCCTGACCCTAGAATTACTTTTACAGCCCATCTCAGTCCAAATCGCGGGTGTGCTTCGCCTGCCTCGCTGGCTGCGGTCGGATGGGTTCCAATCCGATAGATTCGGCCGGGGAGGGGACTGAGATGCCTGCGACGGCACGTGGCAGTGAGGCTGGGCGGCCTGGGCCCCGCCGCCCAACGAACTTCGTGTTACTATCGAGGAAAATAAGTCCTGCTGCCTGGCCCTGGCACCCAGGGTTCCGGGCATCTCTGTAACGTTGCCTACCGCCAGGCGTCAGAGTGAAATGGATGTCAAAAGTGTTGCCTACTTTCAGGCGCTCCGGTCGAAGGTAAGTGCCGGAGAGGTAGCCTATCTGCAGGCGCTCGTCCCGCTCTCTGGTGTCAGAGAAGTTGCCTGCGTCCAGGCGCTAGAGTGGGACAGAGACCGGGAGAGCACTCAGTCAAGAGCAAGAAACCTGTTCAAAAATTTTATTTTATCAAACTATATTTTTTATAACATGAATAATCCAAAACAGACATAACATAGACTTTCTGTTAGAAGTTAACAAGAATTTGTTACTATAATATCATTTGGACTGTTCAGATGACGATTCTGCATCATTTGGTGAGGAAAATACTTTGTCGGCTTGGAATATTTCAGGAGGGGAGAATGGTGTGGAAGGAGCTGTTCTTGATGTGCCTGCCAAATCCACGACAGGTTTCTTCTGAAAAGTTACGATAAATGCCAGAGCTTTAAATTCGTTGCAGGTGTGCAAACAAATAAATTTGTAAAAACACTTATACTTTCTCTTACTGTGAAAAGAGAGCCAAGGGCTTTCAAAATTGGTGCACCATCTGCTGAGTTAGCCTCTGCTTCAGCTGTGTTTAGAAGCGATTCAACTTTGTCAACATCATGCTTGACCCGATGGACTAGATGCTCCAATCCATCGATGCGATCACCTAACTGCTTTAATTCGCCTTTGCGACCAAGGATCTCGGTTGACAAAGAGTTCACGCCTTCAAACCCATCAGCTTCAACCTGCAGATAAAGAAAGTGATTTGGAGATTCACAGATATGTGAACATAATTTGAAAATATCCAAACAAATTAATACCATGTGAATAAGACTTTGAAATTCTTCTAATCTTGTCAACATATCCTCCACTGATTCTGTCGCTGCACTAAGCTGTAATTTTGAAAGAAAGTCAATGTAACGTCAAATGGATATTTATATTAAAAATAAATGCATTAGGTTCGAGGTTAAAGTAGAATCTTCACATATTATGAACACATAAATATCCATACCTCTTTAGTCAAGTCAAACTTAAGGAATGCAGCATAGTCATCTGCTAATTCTGGAACCATTTTATCTGCTGGCATGGGTCTTGAACGGAGGGGAAATTTTTGAATGTAAATAAATACACTGACAGATCGCACTCTTCATCACACCCCCTCCCCCAAACCGTAAACACGGGGGTACGTTCCCCCGTTCCTTGGGCCGACGGGCGCCGACCGACCAATCGACCACTGTACACTACTGTACAAACATAACCTACACTGAACGGAACGGAACTTGGATGTAAACAAAACCAATCTGCTGCATAGGACGATGGTTTGTCTATTTAGTTCATCAGTAACGTTACTGAAGACTGGATGAAATGGAACCAGACTGACACGTTGTTATTAAAGTCGACATAATGAATGGAACAGGGAAAATCCCATATTGTGAAATGACTGCAGCATAAATTCAGGATTCATAAAGTGGAAAGGTGTGTCATTAAGTTTTAAGTTCTCTTTTATACTTTCTGAGCAATGTGTACCAGTGATGTTCAGTGGCAGGGTCCAGTATAGGTAGCGGATTCACTTTGTTGATCTGTCATCTCTCTAGAATGGAGGGCACCAATGAGGAACTCAAAAAGGATCTCGCTGGGAAAGATGCATCATCCTGGGATGCTGATGCCTGTGGACTTCTGTTTAGAGGTGTCGATTGCTGCTTCAACTCCTGCACTTATACCTCTGACCATTACCATTGCCAAGTTTGTGGAATTATCTCAACAGAGGTAAGCCGAATTGGAAAGAACTCATTTACGTTTGCTTGCAATGATTTTGACTTGTACTGAATGTTCCTTTCTGTGTTTCATTATTCAGGCAGCTCAAGCTATAGCCCATGTCCGATCATCACCAGCTTGCAGGAAGGATCCTACAGTTAATTATTCTTCCCCAACAGTCGGAATGGGAGCGGATCCTACAAACTCATTATATAATGCCATCTATAATAGATTTCCTGGTCAAAACTCTTTTTCTTCATCTGGTTTTAGTGGATACAGTCAACTGGATTCATTTCAATGGCATCCCTCTATGTCAGACAAGGTTGCGATATGCAGTGCCCAATTGAGCCCATGCTGCAGTTCCAATGGTGGCACTTTTGTGCCAGTGGAAAGTCAGCTTTGTTCACCAATTAGTGACCTCTACTCTAAAGTTACACCGATTAGAGATCTTGTGAGCCTACCAGCCAAAAGTGCTGGGTCAGCGATGGATTCACAGGCTTGGTTTGCAGCTTATAACACACCTCAAATGCAGAAAGCTGCATACAAGTATCCTGACCAGAGCCCAGCACCACAAATCAATTACATTTTGCTTGACCCAGCTGACCAAAAGAATCAGGATATGGGAGAATCCAATACTAGTATGACATCAAATTATTGTGGGAAATCTGATCTCAGTGGAAAAGGACTTGAATTGAAAGACTCTTACTGTGCTTATTCTTCACAACAAATACCAGGAATAATTTCAGAAGATGCTCTTTTTTCTCTTCAACTTCAGGAAGAGAACTTTAAAGAAACAGAAGTGCCTCAAATGCTTCTTGAAAACAGTGTTCAAGGCAAGACATCATCGCACGTAAATACGGGTGCTGCTACTCGGGTTGAGACTAATTTCACTCAGGAACATTTCGACCAGTACATGCCTAGCTGCAGTGCATACACTCATCCAGGAAATCAGGAGAGTCAAGGAAGGCCAGCAGAGCTGAGCAATCAGCTATCATCTGCTGCAAGTGATAGTGATGAAAGTGACATAATTGTCGAGGATACAGGGGATGACCTTGGATCGCAAATGACTGAGAGTGAGGTATGCAAAATGCTTGGTTTTTAACAAATATTTTTCTGATGTATAATATGCTATTAAAAACTAATGCGTTTTTCAGATTTTTATTGAAGATATAAAGTGTTCCTTGCTTCAAGGTGTTGTAAGTGAAGAAGAGAATTCAATTAACAGATGTGCAGCTGCCATCAGGAATGAAGACATAGCCGGTTTAGATCATTCCATACCTCTGAAGGAATCAAAAGAACCCAGCACTGTAGAAGACACAAAACTGCAGTCTGAGTCACATCTAAAAAACTGCATGACTCCTTACCATACTATCTTGAAGTGTGTAATATGTGGGAAAAGTGCCTCTGATTCCAACTCAGGAAGTGTTTTTGTCCAAATGAATAACCAGATGCCACTCACAACAAGTTCTCACACCCCAGTACTTACTAAACTTAATGAGGTCTGCTTCAAAGAAAATATAGTCAAACCAATTCAAACTGATGTCTAATGTGGTTGTATTTCTAATTGTTTTTGTTTTTTTTTCTTCAGGTTGTATCAATTGAAGTTACTGACTTTCTGGATGTAAATGGGAAGTTATTATGTCAGAGCTGCTTTAATTTGGTGGATACAGTAGACACTCTTGAAAGCAAACTGGAATCACTGAAGCAAGATATTGCAGCTTTGATGAAAAGTGGGCCTAAACCTCAGGTAGTTGCCAAGTTACCAATCAATTTGATGGATCCAGATGAGGGTTCAATAATGAATATTCACTCAAGAGTCAAAGATCCCTCAGTTGCTGCTTGTGTTCAAGAGCTATTTCAGGATTCTATTGTTGGAAACCCCAGTGTTGCAAGACCTGTGAGTCTTCAAGAGCAATCAAATCAACAGAAAACAGTAAGAAGATGTTTCTTCTTTTTGAAATATTCGTCTTGCTTTATTTGAAACTCATAACATGTCATATTCCCACATCAGATGAACAACAACGAACAAAAAGAATATTTATTACTTTCGGGGAGAGCCCTCTCCCTAGCGAACAGTATCAACAAAGTGAGTCTATCCTTGGGTCAACACCACGCATCTCAACTAATGCATGGTGGAGATAACACCACTCACACAATTGGAAATGAAGAATCGACGAAGCCGTCAAAAATTCCTTCTTTATTGTATCAAGTCTCATCTGATTCTTTATCAACAATGAAAGATAGGGAGTCAATTAATTCACAGATTGAGACATACACTCTCAGTGATGTGAATGCCACCTTGGAGGGTTCAAAAGAATTAAGTGAATTTCAGCAGGTGGGTGGAACAGTTGAAGCTTATGGGGGTGCAAGCTATGGAGAAAAAAATTTGCGGTCTTCAACAAATTGCAAAGAAGACATTTTTAGACAGTGTGACAAGGATGAAGGTAGGAAAGGAAAACAACCAAAAGACATTTTAGAGAAGGAGGAAAATTGTTTGCCTCTCAACCTTCCAACTAATGTTCGGCAAGCTGAGGAACAAAGCCCTCATAGTTTAGATTGCCTGAATAAAAATTGTCATGAGATCCTGAGATCAGATAAGAAGATTCAAGAAAATATTCAAAGACAAAAAAATATAGATCAACAGCTTAGCATAGCCTGTGATGTTTGTGATAATTTGTTTGTTTCAATCCAACATCTGAACAGTCATTTGTCTTCTTATTCACAATCTGATTCTTCTCTGTGTGAGGTATGCTCAGCTTTTCCCCAGTTTTTGTTACCTATTTCTATTTTGTTAAGCTTTAAAAATCATAAGAGTTTTATTTTTTCAGCTCTGTGGGCAACTTAATCACAACCAAGCACAGCTTGATGATCATATGTTTCTTGTACATTTTATTTATCAAAAACACTGTGAAGTCTGTGCCATAAAATTTTCCCATCCATGTGTGTACCAAACACATTTGAGAGACCATTCTGGAGAGAAGTCAACTTCATCTTCCCAAAAAGTTGTGATGAGTAATAAGAGAGGAGCTCAGGGAAATTCCCGATCTTACTCATCCCCTTTTGTTTGTTATAAGTGAGTTTCAATAGTATTGTTTCTAAATATTATTCTAAAAATTCTTGTAAATCTTTTAACTTAACATTTTTGTTTTCCATCTCCCTTACTTAGATGTAGCAAAACCTTCCAGCTCCGAAGTCACTTGGAACATCACATCAAAACCACCCACATACTAAAAAAGGCATTATCAAAATGTGATCAATGTGATAGGACTTTTATTAAACCCAGTGATTTGGAGGCCCACAAAAGAAGTCATTCAAATGACAAGAAATTTGAGTGCAAATTTTGTGGGCGGCGGTACAAAAGTTTGGGTAATTTAAATCACCATGCTAAATCTCATGATACAAAAAAGCCTTTTACCTGTGAAGTTTGTTCTCAAGGATTTACTCGGAAAGGTCAGTACACTTTATATTTATTACTTTTAAATCTTTCCTTTAGATGTAATAAATTCAAGGTTTTCTGGCGAATTTGCAGACTTTTATGAAACTCACATTAATTCACATAAAGATAGTAAGCCTTACAAGTGTGACAAATGTCAAAAGGGCTTCTTGAGCAAGTCTTATCTTCAAGTTCATTTGAAGTGGCATCTGGACAAAATAAAAAAAGTTACCTGTCCAATTTGTAAGAAGACCTTCTCTCAAAGACTGAATGTTCACATGCGTAGTCACACTGGAGAAAGGCCACATCCATGTGAAAAATGTCCCAAGAAGTTCATAACTGGAAGCGCTCTTCGAAAGCACATGAAAAGAATTCATCAGCCAAATTTCTCAGAAGATTGTGTGTATTCTACAGCTGATGGGTCTGATGCTGAGCTTCCTGAATTGGATGAATCAACTTCTCTGTCATGTTCAGCTTAGCTTGATCAGTGCCCTGTTAAATCTTTGAATCTATAATTAATGTTTCTGTCTATCCGTCCATACATATGTGTTCTCATATTCTAGTCATATCCTATTGATTTCTTATCATGCAATGTTTTTTACTCTCCCCACTGAAACAGTTCTGTGATATGTAACCCTTAATGTTACCAAAAATAAACTAAACAATTACTTTTTGGTCCATTATTTCCCCTGCGCAAGTACGAGTATCAGTACTTAAACTTTTGATTCTTTCACCCACTTCCTCGCATGCTTCGCGTGCGCCCTGCTTTCCGGACTTGTAAGCTTCTACAGCGTCGCCGATACTCCGGCCTCGGTGGAATGAAGCAGCACGATGGCGCGGAGTATCGCCGTGCTGACTCCGCCGTTCGAATCCGCGGCGGCGGCGGCACTGGGAATATCTCACCACCTGTGCCCTGCGCGGCCCACCGCGGTGCAGCCCGGGTGGGCCGGGCCAGCGATGGCTTGTTGATAACGCCGGCATGATTAGATAGGAGCGAACCGCACTCGGGCAGCGGGAGGGGAGGTAGAGAGAAGCCCGTCGTAGAGGTAGAGGGCCCGCCAAGCGCTCGGATGGTTGGGCCTTCCCTGTGGTGGCCCCGGGTCTCCCCCACCCCCAGCCGCCGCGAGTCCTCGCCGTCCGGCACCCGAGTGACGCGGATCGACAGCGCCGAGACAGCGCCTCGTGGATAGGTCGTCATCGGCGAGGTCCCTGGCCGCCCTAGCGGCCCTGGCGGCCCTAGTGCACCTCCGTCATCCACCCGCTGCGCACTGCTGCGCACGGCCGGGCTGTCGGCTGTCGCGCCCGATCCTGACCAAGCAGAGCGGCTAGCGGCGGTCACTCGCGCTGACGCACAACACGGCCAGGATGGCGGGGAACGGGCAAGCGGGACCCGCCCTGAACCACCCCCAGGTCGCCGAGGACATGAACCTGTTCCACAAGCAGCACCCCTCCACGCCGCCGCCGCGCTTCAGCTCGCCGTCCAGGCTGCAATCGCGGACCACCAAGGCGGAGCGCGCCTTCAGGACGGCGGCGAAGCGGGCCGCCACGTCGACCTTGGTGAGCTTCAGCGTCAGCAGAGTAACTCCGCGCGTCGCTGTCATCGCTCTGTCTCTCTCGCGCTCATTCAGGCGTGTCGCAAAGCATAGAGGTGCGAGAGGGACAGAGCGACGAAACGTTATGCAGGGCGGGCCGAAGCCACCCCTAGGTTCTAGTCGTTAAGTCCGGGGTTGAGACGAGCTAGCACAAAGGGCCGTGTTTCGCGATTTGCGTGAAGGTTCCTCACAAATGGCCGTGATGCACTCACACCGATGAAGCGCGTTTTCGATAAGATAGGCTGTTTGGCTGACGCTGTGATGAATGACTCCCACCTCCCTGTTCTGGGCCAGGGCATGACCAGGGCCTCGGAAGGAAAGTCCCGAGGCGACGAACAGAGGACTGCTCGTCCTCTTGCCTAACCCACTCCTTGGCCCCTTGACGAAGGCCGACTCCGAACAGAGTCTCTTAGCTCTATCTCTCTATCTCTCTCGCGCTCCAACAGGCCGCTCCATGAGTGCGAGAAAGACAGAGAGACAACACAACATGCGGCGCAGCAGGAAAATTAGACAGCACTCGGTCAACAGTGGGCTGATTTCCTCGCTGTGTCTCTCTCGCACTCACGGGGCGTTCCGAAGGGGTGCTCGAGAGTGGCAGAGCGACAAAACCCTGCGTAATCAGTCGGCAGTCGGAATGACGTCATTGGGATGCAAACCAGACTAACATGAGGTGGGTGCAGCTCCAGGGCATCGTGTGGACGGCGCTCGGCGCCCTGGCCGTGTTGCTGCACTACGGCATGCTGCCCGTGCCGGACATCACGGAAGAGATCGAAAAATGGAACAGCTGGGAGTTCATCATGTACAACATGTACTTTAAGGGTAAGCAGTCTGAGGTCAGCGCGTGGAAAGAGAAGTTCGCCTCACGCGGCCGTTCTGGCCGTACGTGTGCGCGTGGCGTTCCTCCAATCGGCGGAGCGAGCGCCGCGGAGGTAGGCACCACGCCGGCAGCCCGGCGCTGCGGGCGCGTCAGTCCGCCGCTCGCAGGCGCCATGACGGCCTTGATGCCCTGTCGCAGAGAACGCCGCCTTGCCCGACCTCCCAGAGGAGGGCGTCGTGTCGGCCACGCAGATGCTGTACTTCTCCATCGCCACGCTCGCCGCCAACGCCCTCATGCTCCTGCTGTCGTTCGTGCTGCTGACGCGTAAGTTTGGTTCCAGGGCGACGCGTCGCCACAGGTTTCTGAAGGTGCCCGCCGGTGCCGCAGTCCCATTCCGAGTAGCCTAACTGCTTGTCGGCGCCTTTCGGCGCCTTTCGCAGGGCTGTGCTGCGGCGCCAACCCGCGGGCCGACCTCGCGGCGGTGGTGCTGTGGGCCGCGTCCGTGATCGTCGTCACCACGGTGGACGTGATGGTGGCCGCCGCCATGGTGCGCGACCTGGTGCTGCTGGAGAGCTGGCAAAAGTACTGGCCCGACGATGGCTTCACGGCGCTGCGCTTGTGCCCCGGCGCCGTCCTCGCCCTGGCCCTGCGCGGCGGCGTGCTGCTGCTGGCCAACGTGGCCTGCATGCTGCTGGTGCTGCGGAGGTGACTCACAGAATCAATCCTGTTGTCGTTCCGACCGAGAGACCTGTTCTTTACTTCAGCCTTGGTTCCAGGCTGCATAACTACCGGAACCAGGGCGACGCGGCCAGCGCGTCGCAGGCCGCCACCAAAGCAGACGGACCCATCGACGGCTTCCTGTACCCAAAGTGAGAGTGCGCGCCGCGTTAAGGTGGAGATGCTGGGCTTTCGTGATGCAGTCTCATTTTTCCTCCACAGTGGCGACAAGGAGGGCATGGACAACCCCGTGTTCGTCCCGGACGAGGCGGAGCACCCCTGGAGGACCTTCAAGCCCGATCAGAACGGGAACCAGCGTGCCAACGCGCACCCCGGGCACGACCTCGGCTACCTCAGCAAGGTGAGTCACCCACAGCGTTTCGAGTCGTTGTCGAATGTCCGCTAACCGGCCGTGGCACCGCTTGCAGGATGACCCCGAAGACATCTCCCACTTGATGTGGATGGAGGAGGTGGACAAGCACGTCGACGTGCACGTGCGACGCGGCCGCCTCGAGGACCGGCCCCCGCCGCACCATCGCTACGGCTTCGTGGAGGACGCGCCGCCACAACACCACGTCGAAGACCACCACCTCAGCCAGCACTTCCCCAGCGGCAGACTCCGCGCCGCCCTCGGGCCCCTCAGCCCCGGCCCCCTGCCCGTCGGCTACCCCGAGACGGGCCAGGGGCTGCGACTGTCACGAGCCGCGCTCGCCGATCCTCCCTCGCACGTCCCTTCCCACGCCCTTTTCCAGGCCCCCACCCAGACCCACTACCAAGGCCCCCCTCAGGCCCCCTCACATGCACTTTTCCAGGCCCCCACGCAGACCCACTACCAAGGCCCCCCTCAGGCCCCCTCACATGCACTTTTCCAGCCCCCCAGCCAGACCCACTACCAAGGCCCCCCTCAGGCCCCCTCACACGCACTTTTCCAGCCCCCCAGCCAGACCCACTACCAAGGCCCCCCTCAGGCCCCCTCACACGCACTTTTCCAGCCCCCCTCCCAGGCCCCCTCACACGCACTTTTCCAGGCCCCCTCACAGACCCACTACCAAGGCCCCTCGCAGGCCCCCTCACACGCACTTTTCCAGCCCCCCTCCCAGCCCCACTTCCAAGCCCCTCAGGCCCCCGCCCTGCCCCCCGTGGACTACTCGCCGCCGGCGCGGAGACGCGGTGACGGTGGCGCTGCCGACAGGGCCCTGGCGGCGGGAAGGGCCAACCTGCGTCCCGTGAGGCAGGACCGCTTCTGAGATGTATGTCATTAAAACGATTATCGCTTGTAAGATGTCGCGTATGGTGGTCTTTTGTTCGAAGGTGGCTTTTCAAAACAAAGGCGTACGCACAAAAACACGATTTTTAATCGGAATGGTCATTTTAAAAACGATCTACTCTACTATGCGCTAGGCTCGCAGTCTTGCTCGCAGTCCCTCAGCCCTGGCCGTCGGCGTGCTCCGTTGCGGCGTCCCTGGCAGTGAGCAGCGCGCAGAAGGGCTTGGGGCACAAGGTGAAGCCGTCGAGGAAGTGGCGGTCCTCTATCGGGTCGCCGACGGGGTGCTTCGGGCACGGCTCCATCGAGAAGTGGTGCAGCAAGAAGGCCAGGAACATGAACAGGTTGGAGCGGGCCAGCTTCTCGCCCAGGCAGCGTCTCTTGCCTGCAACGGGAGCGACGAGTGTGAGCTGCGGGTCAAGCGTGGCGCCGAGCCAGGCCGAGCGAAGCGCCCGGTGGCAACTGTACTGACCCAGGCCGAAGGGCAGGAGGTACTCCGCGGACTTGAGGCCGGCGTCGTCCAGAAAGCGCTCGGGTCGGAAGCGCTCGGGGTCGCCCCAGTACTCGCGGTCCATGTGCACGGACCACAGGCTGGCCAGCACGGTGGTGTCCTTCGGGACGGTGTGCCCCATGATGGTGGCGTTCTGCATCGCCCTGTGCGGCACGCCGACGGGCGCCACGTTGGCCAGCCGCTGCGCCTCCTTCAGCACCGCCTCCAGGTAGTTGAGCCTGGAGAAGAGACAGGGGGCGCTCAGCCTCGGCTCGCCGTACCCACCCTGCGTCGACGAGCTGGCCACTCACCGCGGCCTGTCCTGCAGGCTGGGCTGCCGGCCTCGCCCCACGACGCGGTCCAGCTCCTCCTGCGCGCGGCGCTGCACGTCGGGGCGGCGCAGCAGGAACATGACGGTGAAGCCCAGCGTGTTGCTCGTCGTCTCGGCGCCTGCCATGAACAAGTCCAGCAGCAGCGACAGCAGCTGCTTCTCTGCAACGCCAAGTCGGAGGGGGCACGTCAGTCCTTTGCGTGTGTCATTTGATTTGGAGCGGCAGACGGCGACCTGGGACCCGGGCGCCCACCTGTGTACGTGCTGCCCGTGCTGTCCGTGCCCTTTCGGCCCTGCATCTCCTCCAGGAAGGCGTCGATGAGGTCACGCGGCTTGGTCGGTACCCTGGTCTGCTCGTGCTCAACGATGGTCTCCTGAGGGGGTGGGGGCGGTGATGGTGAACATCGCGTGCACGGTGAAGAAACGCTGCCGCGGCCCTCGTGACGCCTCGTACTCACCCTGAGGAAGTCCCACAGCTTGTTGAGGTTGCGCACGGTGTCCGTGTAGCCGCAGCGGCGAGGCGCGAGGTGTCGCAGGAAGGGCATCTGGTTGAGCAGGCCGCCGGAGCCGTCCGTCTGGCGGAAGCAGTCGTTGAGCGTGTGCAGCAGGCCGGCCAGCCGCTCGTCGTCCAGCGCGAACCGCCTGCCGGCCAGCATGGCCCACAGCGAGTTGAGCACGCTGACGTCGAAGGCGTGCGCCATGGCCACGCAGCCGTCCGCGCCGCGCGCCGCCAGCACGCGCGCGCGCAGGGCCGTCACCAGCTCGGCGGCCTCCTCGGCCACCTGCTCCTCCATGCTGCGGCCGCCCAGGCCGAACTGCTTGAGCACGCGCACCGCGAAGCGCCGCTGCTCCTGCCAGTGCTCGCCCTCCGTGAACACCACACCTGCGGACCGACACATCGCAGGTTCGAGTCCCCGCACATGCAACGCCATTTAGCGTTGTAGCTTTGCTAGCTTTGCTAGTTACCCAGTCGCTCGCCGAAACAGCGCAGCCGGAAGAAGAAGCCGTCGGGGCGGCCGTCGAAGGCGCTGTGGGTCAGCACCTCGCGCACGGCGGCGGCCCCGGACACCACCACGACCCTGTCGCGGCCCAGGCGCAGCCCCACCACGGCGCCGTACTGCCGCGAGAGGCTGCGCCACACCTCGTGCAGGTAGCCGTACTCGCGTTGCAGCTGGCGATGCTGCAGGTACGTGCCGACGACCGGGAACCAGGCGGGGCCTGCAACGCAACCAGTCACGGACGTTCTGAAGCCTGGAGCTCCTGGAGCGTCGCGAGCCAAGCGGCCCGGCGGCGGCTCCATGGACGTCCACGTGGCGGGGGCGTACTCCAGTACCTGGCGGGTAGCCTGGGGGCTTCTTGATGTCGGCCAGCAGCAGCGTCAGCAGCACCACGGCCAGCAGCAGCAAGGACAGCTCGGGTATCGGCAGCAGACAGCACCCCAGGACCATGTCTGCAAGGCTAGTACTGCGTGCATCGAACATCGAACGGGACGCGTGAGAGAGGCAACATTCAACAACGAAGCGCTGTGCGGTAAGAGCCAACAGTCGCCTGCAAGGGGTGGAACGCAGAAGCCAGGGACGGAACAAGGAAACGGTTTCGTCCAATGTAAATCTACACAAGAGAGGGGGGGGGCGACGCACGCCCTGAGAATGCCGCCCCACCCCGCCCCGCCACGCCCGAGGTCGAGACCAATGCAGCTCGAGGGACGAGGAAGGCGGAGGGCCTCGCCGAGATCCCAGCGTCCTGACTCACGGCCCTTCGGCCCTGACCACTGGCCGACCCCGACCTACCCGATGGGGCGTGGGGCGGGGCCGAGGTGGGGCCGAGGTGGGGCCGAGGCATCAGCTGGGTCTCCTCTGCCGGCTCCCGGCACCGGCTTCGGAGCACCGGTACTTCCAGCGTACTGCCAGCTGATTGTACACTCTTAACGCTCGTCCCGTGCTTTCCAAGTTCGGGCATCCATCGCCCACAAAAAAACGTACGTACATGTAAGATATTTATGTGCTTTTTTTAAAAAAAATTCTACGCTGTTATGAGCTGAGTATCAGGTGATACAGATAATCAACCGTGCCAATAAAATGAACCGCTGACCTGCCAAACGGTTGTACAGTGCGGCACAATCCAAGGCGAAATTCACTCCTTGCTCCCTACAACATGTCCGGACTTCGGACGGGATGCTGCTACTTACTGGCGACTCGTACAGGACGTTGGTTTCCTTCGGCGGCTCGGAGCGTGCAGTGGGCGCGCTAGGTCCCTTCCCTGTCCTAGGTCCCTCACTGCACTGGAGTGACTCCACTGGCCGAGGTGGCCGAGGCTGAGGCCGCGGGCGGTGGCTAGGCTGCGCTGGGTTACGTTTCGACGCCCTAATACGCCCAGGTATGCCCTGCCGACCAGCCTCGCCGCGCACTGAGGGGCCGAATGCTCGCCTAGCCGGGACCAGCCGGGACCAGCCGGGACGAGGGCCGAGGCCGCCGAGGCTCCGAAAAGGTGCACCAGGGCTCTAGCGGGGTCAAGGGTGAGCCTCTCCTTGGGTCCCAAGGCAAGTGGGAACTGGGGTCGCGGCAGATCATCTCGGGGAGCTATTCCCAGCCCCAGCGAGTGACGGGGACAGGGGCTCCTTGGATTGCGTCTCGGGCTCACTCCAGGCCGTATTTTCGTTTCGGGAGTGATTTCATTCATGCACTGGACAATCTGAGAGGTGGTTGTTGGTGAGCTATTTTCCCAGGTGGCAGAAAGGGGTGAAGATGCATTACGAGGTGTAAAAATTTGTTGCAGCCTTGGGGTTGGAAAAGGGGGCGGGGGTGTTTACCCACGAGACTCTGTCCTTCCGTAACACAGTGTAGGACACGTGAACATGTGGCAAAGGGAGGCTCGGGGAGCACGTGCATCATGATAGCGCTCTGACTGGCTGACTGGCACCGCGTAGGGACACTAGCTCTAGAACGGAAAACGGACTCCTCATTTGCATCTTCCCCTTTCAGAGTCAGAGCAAGGCTTCTCTCCATAAGCAGGCGTCAAATATCCGCTTCCGTTGCATCTCAAACCCGCTCTACTTTCGTCATTGCTCTTTCCCCCGAGCGGAGTGGAGGCTGGTGTCGCGGGTCGTCGATATCCCCTGCCCAGCGCCATGGGCATCCGGAGGCGAGGGGTATCGCCGGCCCGCGCCGGCCTTCCCTCCCCCTCCCCGTCCGCGTCGGCCAGCAGCGCCAGCGCCAGCAGGCTGATTCCGAGAGTCGTTTTCGTCACGCTGTCTCTCTCCCACATGTACGGGACGCCCCGTGAGTGCGAGAGAGACAGCGCGACGAAAACGACTCTCGGAATCAGTCTACAGGGGCACTGGGCCGGGGCTTATCAGCCCGTGCAACAGCAAACTGATTCCGCAGAGTAGTTTCATGGCTCCCTCTCTGTCGCGCTCGTGTGGCGTCTCGTAGGGCGTCTCGTAGGGATGCGAGAGAGAGAGAGAGAGAGAGAGAGAGAGAGAGAGAGAGAGAGAGAGAGAGAGAGAGAGAGAGAGAGAGAGAGAGAGAGCGCGATGAAGCGAGTCTCCGCGGCAGGCGAGGCGAGCGAGGCGCAGCCTCTAGCCTTGTCCGTTGCCCTTCACACCGCCAACTGGCCTTCTACCTCTCTACCTTCTACTGGCCGGTCGGTCCAGAAGAATTTAACGCCCTCGATATGCAAATTGTGTCATATATGTTTGCTCCATAGAGATTGAGCCACTTTCTCTTTGATTGGAATTTATTTGTTAAATAAATATCATGATGCTGAAGTTTTTTTTTTTTTAACCGTTTTATTACTGTGATAGACAAACAAGAAGGGAAAAATCTGACATCCCAAAACAGTGTTACACAGTACCAAAATACATAGCTTTTAAGCATATACATTTGTCAGAGGCTAACGTACAGGATCTCTGCAGAGTGAACATTTTTTAAATGCTAAAATGAGGCTTTAAATTATTTTTTTAAAAAAGTCATGACATTTTGTAAGAGGACAGATAGGTTGAAATATAAGTAATGATACTTGGGAAATAACAAATATAAGCAGTTTCCTAAAACACTATACAACTAAATCAGCCTCGACACATTGTACTCCAAGTTCCGGATTCACTAACAAATATCACTCTTGTTCACATCTTCAATTATATGCAACATCTGTTAAATAAATATTATGGCGGTCTGTGTAAGAGATCTATTTGGACTCAGGCAGTCTCATAAGACAAACAGCTTCACTCAGTGTGAAGACAAGAATGCTGTACTAATTCAAATCATTTATATTGTAGAAGATCAAAACAAACTTAACATACCAGCTATTCAACTCATAAACGAGCTGGTGGAAAGGTGTGATGGAAGATTGAACAATCCTGACAGATAAAACCCAAAACTGCTGGTTTAATTGAATTTGGCACTATGCACAGTGAACTATGAAACCATGCGCAGTGCAGAGCAACAGAAATTATACAGCGTACTTTAATGACATGACCAGAAAGCTCAGCGTTAATCTGTACATTATACTCGGTCAAAGCAAACAGTAAAATCCAAATTTAACAATTAAGGTACTTAGGTATGAATTGCTCAATTTGGGAAACTTGTAATAAAATCCTTGCACACACACAAATACACTACTCCAGCACAAACACACAGATTCACACACTTGACTGATTTATTATTAAAATGAAAGTCTGTGTAAGGGGAGAAGGGAAACGCAGAGAACCTGAACTAACATTTCCTTTGCTCAAATAAACAGGGTTCACACCAGATTCCCTTTTTCGTTTTCCCTGACTTTTCCCTGATATCCAGTGTAAAAATTACCTATTTTCCCTGACTTTATTTTTAAAATTAATGTGCAGTTCTAGAGTCAATTGCATGCAGCTTCCACACGTGCGGCGTTCAAAATCCATACTTTGACGAACTTTTCAAATTTTCCCTGACGCAAAATCGAATTTCCCTGACTTTCCCTGACTTCCAGTGCCCCTTTTATTTTCCCTGACTTTTCCATGACTTCCCTGATTTCCCTGACCGGTGTGAACCCTGATAAATAATACAACTAGACTTAAAAGTCAGTATATTTCTTTAGTTAAAACTTTAAATCAATATTTACAAAAAAAGTTGACTTCAAAACTAGGTACATAGTTTTCGCTTTAGTGAACACTTCGTCTATCAAAATTTCATCTTGATGAGACAAAATATGAAGTTGATAATCGAAGGATAAACCCCTTTACTCACAACAATTACATTCATTTACTCGTGCATCTTTCCATCCTCACACTTATCATTGTGACTAAAACAAGATACAACTTAATTTTGACAATTCTTCAATAATTTATACAATGCTCAACTTTATGCCGCACACATTGCTACACGGTGAACAAATCAAAACACATTTCAGACCTCTCAGGAATAAATTGTATTCATCTTGACAAATTGAAAACATCAGAAGTTAACTTCCCTTGTGATAAATCATAACTTTATCAGAAGGCAGCAGAAATTATCAGTTCTGAGTCTATTCATAAGCGCCTCTAATTAACAAACAGTAAACAACAGAAGAAGAAAGAAAACACGTGGGGAAAAAACAAAAACAAAGTAAGCAATAAATGATTTCATATCATAAGAAACTTTATAATTATCAGGAATACATTACACACTTCATCAATTGGTGCTTACCCCACCAGTCAATAGGGCCCACATCAAGGTCAAGGAATTGAAATTAGTCTCTCATAAAATCACAATAGGAGAAGATAAAATTAAAACATGTATGTGTGTTGAAAACACATGTTACAAAACAATACCAACACAAAATAGGAAATGGGTCAATTACAGGTAGTTTGAGTGGATTCAATACCCATAAACTGTTAAGGATAAGAAATCACAGGTTCTAAATCCTTAAAGGAGAACTAATCCAACTTAATTAATATAAAGAGTGCTTTAGTTGACTCAGAGTGGCTAGACTCATGTTTAAATACACCTTTGCAGGATATTTTTGTCAGATTCATCAGCAACTATCAATGCACTAGTTTTCCAGTACATTAATTGTAAAGAAAAGGAAAGAAACTAATGTAGTTACCTAGACTGGAGGTAAATACACACATATGTAAATGTGAATACATTTGTACAAATACTACAGAACAATGTGCTGGCATTTAGTTTTCACATAACTATGTTGCTACAATAGGGCTACCAGGTGCCACATAATAGTAAAACCTAGGTTTGCAATGAGAAAAGCCAACGGATGTCATAGATCTCAAGAACTGCATAAAATGTGCCTCCTGTAATAACTAGTGATGTACACACTTGACTGGCAACTGATGAACCAAACACAATTATCATAATAAGAACAAGACAAAGATATTCTTAAACATCCACCAGATAAACATTTAACTACAGTGATCATTCATGCCGTTGGAAATTGAAACAGAATGCTCATAGGAAGAACCGGAGCAACAGGGTGGAAAACTCCAACATCAGAGGCCTCAACTGACCTCATCTGTCATGTCTGGAAAGAAAGTCAGTCATTAACAAACACATAAATTCAAATGAAAAGATGACCAAAAAAAAACTCTTTTAAACTTACACAATAAAAAAACAAAAAAAAATTACTGTGACACTGCAACAGGTTCTTGTGCTACTCCTTTTGCTGGTGCAGCCTCTTCACTTGGGGCCTTGTTTTCATTGCTTTCTGCTTCATCTAGTTTCTCTGCAGGAGCTGATTTCTCAATAGAGGATTTCTCAGGAACTGTTTTTTTGTCTTCATCAATTTTTGGCTCCACTTTATTCACTTCACTTGGCTTCTCTGTGGCATCATCCTTCTTTTCGACCTCTTCAGGAGTCACCACATCTTTTTCAGTATTGTTAACTACTGACTTAGGCTAAAATAAAATGAGGAAACAATTAGAAAGCTGATCACACAGCAAAAATCAATAGAAATCAAATTCAACCAATGGATTTGGCAAATGAATATACCTCAACTTCCTTCTCAGCTGGGGACGCATCACCATTAGCTTCATCTACATCCATTTTCTCATCTTCCTTTTCTGTGGTCTTTTCAGCGTCCTTCTTTGACACAGCTTCTTCTTCGTCGTGGCCGTCATCTCCATTTTCCTCCGCTTTCTTGGGCGTCTTGGCCTTTTTGGGGCTTTCATTTATTTCCTCTTCTTCCTCCTCCTCTTCATCATCAACTATTTTTCGTTGTCTCCGTCTTTTCCCTGGAAGAATACATAAAAAGGAAGGTAAGAAAATAAAATAGAAATAAAATGAGAAAAATAATGTAACAAAGGAAAGAGTGAAGATTACCTCTAGCTTCACCACCACTTGCACCAGCACTTCTCTTCTCCTTCTTGGGGGGTGGAGATGGAGTCACAGGGGGTGTGCCACGAACAGCTGATCGAGTCATTCTGCGCCCTTCTGGTACCTCAGCGCCTGGAAGGCCTTTGGTGATGCTCTGTGCTTCCTCTTGAACCTTGGCAAAACTGGACTTAGAACGACGTCCTTTCTTAGGCTTGTCATTTTCTTCCTGGACTTCAACTTTTGGCTCCTCCTGAAATAAAATTTTAATGACCAATGAGCAAAATATCTAATCATATTATATTAATGATTATCAAAGCTTCTCATCTATAAAAAGAGTGAGAAAATTGAAAGAAAAAAAAATAAACGGCAAGATAATTTAGAATCAGACATGAACCCGCTAAATGATTCCATGACAACAAAACAAGATGCTGCATCGAGATGAAAGGGAAGGAGGATTTGAGACCTTCAAGGGTGAACAAAAACAAAGCCCTTAGTGAGTTGCATCACTGAGTACAAACACAATCACCGACCCTTGCTCGCCTTCGCCTGCAGTGACAGCGGCGACAAATCTGATGGGGCGTCCCAGACGACTCCCTCGCGAAGGAGAAGGACAGCCTTGAAGACGGTATTCCCCGCAAACGCCGAAAACGCGCCTGGCGGTACCCGGCCGACCAGGGCCCCTAACCCTACTTGTTGTCCCCGGGCGCCCCGCGGCCCAGCGCCCCGACCGCACGGCGCAAGGCCCGCGCAAGGCTGCACCGCCGGTCGGGTCGGGTCGGACATGTCTGCCGCCTCCGGGAAACCGCGTCCCGTCCGAGTGCAGGGCGAAGCGTGGGGCCCAGCGACCTTCCCCGCCACGGACGGAACGTACTCGTTGCCCTCGGACGAAAGGGCGACGCGACAAATACAGCCCCCGCGGCCCGACGCGCCGGCGGGTTGACACAAACGGGCCGAGCGAATACACGTAATGGCTCGCAATAGTCTTCCTCGGCGTCGCACGTAATGTGCGGGGCGTACCCTCGAGCGGCCGCGGCACCTACCTCTTTAGTACTCTCCACGGCGGTGTCTGCAGTCACTTTCTCTTGAGTATCTGCCATGATGCAGGCTGCTGTTGTGTGTACAAACACTAGATCGTTTAATAATAACGCAACGGATCGGACTCGGAAGCTTGCAGCCCGGCTCCAATGTTTATGCGGCGATCAAGATGGCGGTTGGCGTGGGTCACGTGACTCGTGACCTCGCATCTCGCGTCCCTCTCGAAGGTCGAACGAGCAGGGCGAGGTATCGAAGCAAGCCGTTTCGCGCCAAGCACGAAAACGCAAGCATGGTTCTGGGAGGAAGCGGGGAAGGTAAGGGAAAGAACGACACTTCCCGTTTTAAAATTATATTTGAGTCCCGATATGGTTTGCAAGTTACTAAGTACTGCACCAAAACTGCATCTCGAACACCCACCTCATCTAGGCAGTACTAGGTAGGTAAGAATTAGGATACATCACAATCAAATTAAAAAATCCTTCACATCTTAAATTGACAAAAACGATGGGAAAATAAAATCACTTTCTATTTCATTGTGCACAAAGGAAACAAGCTTGAAGAATAAATAAATAAGGGTGTTGACTTGAATTTCCCAACAGTGCCGAGAGTCAATATGACCAATAACGAGGCTTCAGAACATGTTCTTTATTTTGCTGTGTCTAAAGCATTCAGCCATGTTTGCTAAAATATGTTAGGCAATGCTCTTTGGAAGAATTGACAAAATCCGTTGCTTGGTGACAGGAAGAATGGCGAGAGAGTTTGGCCTGAAGAAAGAAAAATGAATCTAAGTGGGAAGCAAGTTAGAATATAATGGGAAACAAATCATGAACCTTTACCTTTCAAGGAAGAACCGAAGTAAATGTTGTGTGCTTTCAGGAAAGACATTTTGCTTAATGCTATGTTCCAAAGCTATTAAGCAACCATCCAAATTCCAAGTGACCTTTAACGCTTTATCCTCACTCTACAAACACAAAGAGAAAAAAAGAGGAATTTAATAAAATATTACCAGTTTTAAAAATGGTTGCAAAAGAAGCTAAAACATACCTTAATCAAACCTAGGTGAACAAGCAGGGCGTTATTTGTTAGAGCTGAGCGGAATGAATCTCCTTGACTGGCCCACCCATACAAGTGTCTTGACAAAGCTTCACTTGTTTTCAGAGCAACTTGTTGGACATTTGCATTGCTGTGTGTAGATAAGGAGGAAACCTTCATCAGCATGGGCAACATTTTCTCCAAATAACAGTCGTCTGATAAATACTGTAAGAATAATTTGAAGGTCAGTTAGCCAAGAAAGATAATTAAAAAGTTAAACAAAAAATACTAGTTGAAGGAAATACCTTGGCTTCTTGAAGAAGTTTTTCAGAAGTCACAGCCAAGAGTCTTTCACCGGTAGGTGTTTCTAAGAACTGACGCACCGTGCACTGAAAAGAAGGCCCAGATGTGACCATCATCTCCAGAGTTACATGAGAACAAAAACACAAGGATCATTCAGCTCATACCTGTTGCACTGGAATAGGTGGAGGAGCCTGGACTTCTCCATGGCCATCAGCATTATCTTCATCTTTGTCATCCTCATCTTCCTCTTCCTCTTCATCTTCCTCCTCCTCATTTTCATTCTCATCTCCTGATACTTCATCCTCATCAACACCTTCATCATCCCTTAAATAGGAAAAGCAGGTGTAATGAAAACTGAATAGATCACAGAAAAGAGCCTAACATGCTTATCTATTAATGAGTGTAAGCAATAACATACTCTAGACTTAAAATATCTTCTTGGTGACCAGAACCTTGTAGCACCTCACAAATTTGTTCACATCCTTCATCACCAAATTGGTTTCCATCCAAGTCCACCTTCTTTAAGTTCTTCTTGTTGGCCAGGGCATTAACAACAGCAAGACCTCCAGACAGGCCTATTTCATTACAACTTAAATAGACTTCCTAGATAGATAAAAAAACGAAGGAAAAGAGAAAGGCAACACTTAACTAGATTAAAAACAATTAAAAGTTAGTAAGCAGAAGATACGGAAAAAAAAATTACCTCAAGTTGTGTGTGCTTTTCTGTAAGAGCTTCAGCAATGAACTGAGCTCCTTTTGTTTTTAGCAAGCAGTCTCCAAAGTTCAGGTGACGAAGACCAGGGAGGAAGAGCAAAGCTTTGGAAATTGCTGCAGCACCTCGGGCTGTGAGTGTATTATCATTAAGATTTAAAATTCTGAGATTCGGATTTTGACGTAATCCTTCACTCAATGCTGTTATCCCAACATGATAAATTCCATTCTGAGGCATGGCAACTTCTTCCAAAGTTCCTACAGCCTGAACAAAAAATTAATTTCAGTCTTAGTTAGATTTGGACGGATTTGGAGGTGAAAAGAAGAAACAAAAAACACTGCTGATTTAACTTTACAGAAGATATGACTTACCTTAAAAACTTCTGCAAGAGCTGTAGCACCTTCATTTTCTAGTCGGTTCCTGCCAGCAATAAATACTCTCAAACCTAAACCCTTTTCTCCAGCTGCCTGAGCATTTTTGTGACAGTCAAGCAAAGCTTTTGCAAGCATCTGAAAAATAAAATAAAAAAGTAAATAAAAATCTGTTTAACTTAATAATTAAAATATATGACACAGTTCAGAAAGTTTATTTGATCATCACCTTGCCACCGGATATTCCTAGCCCATTGTTGTTCAGTCGTAACTCCTGGAGAGAATAGCAAGGTGGTGAGCGAAGTAATGTAGCTAATCCTTCCACACCAATTGGTCCAAAAGCATTATCACTTAAATCAAGCTCAATAAGGCGGGCCTGAGCTGTCATGAGTCCAGTTCCAAGAGCTTGCAGAGCTTTTGGGATTTCTGTTTTCATTCGCCCAGTGAACATGTCCTTCCACAAAGCACGCTTCAGCTCTGGGTGTGTTTCAAGTCCCTTCGCTATTGCCTTGGATGCTTCCACACCCAAAGTGTTGCCTTCCAAATTCAGGAATGTAAGGTCAGAGCACTTGGACATTGCCTCCAACACTTCTTTAGCTGCAAAGAAATAGAAGAAAACGTCCCATTGAGTCCACAATAACACATTACACATTGATAGAAGGGTTAACAAAGGGCTGGACATAACGCGTCAAATCGACAGCTATCACCTTGGGTCTACAGTGCTTGGAATTAAAATCGGCGAGAGTAATAGGCCAATGACATTCGAAACTAAAACCACGCAAAACTTGAAAATGACGGCAACAGAACGAAGTAAGAAACATACAGAACATAACCTACCGTCATCTTCGGAGTCCAACTTTAGACCCTTTCCTTGAAAAGACACTCCACTGGACTCCACACGAGTGGCTGCTAGACGCAGCACCACATCATCGAGGTCATTCATCGCGACAGGCATAAGGATGCCAGACAAATAAATACACCAATGTAAATAAATAAACAAATTCAATGTGATCAGAACAGCACAGAAAGCCCCGCTGCAGCAGCCCGCCGATATCGATTTTTGAATCTTCTGCGTAGTTGCGGCACTGCCACACCCTGCAATGAATATCGCAGGACATAAATGAGTTTCGACAATAGTGTTAGGGAGAACATATGGCCTCTTAGATAAAAATATTGCTATCGAATTAATTTTGAATGATTTTGGGCTTAAAAATAAAATTTATAATCGACATTTATATCGATAGCAAAGTACTTTTCACATAGTTTGTGAGGTTGGTGCACCTCACTTTAATTTCGTTAAACCGGTTGTCGTTTCCGGTTCCTTTAGCATCCACATGCTGGCTGAGTTCGTAGGTGGCGGTGGCGTGGAGTAGCGTGGAGTGGTGGTGTTGATATTTAGGAACGAGCGTTGACCACGCTGTTGCCATTAGTTTGCATTTTAGAACATGTTGTAAAACAACAAGGGCAAAATGGTAAGCATTTAAGATCAACGTTATATTGGTTATGTTTCTGAACCGTTTAGCGCCGCGCCGCATCTGCCTGGCCTGGCTTGGTTGGGAAGTTACGACTTCGCTCAGCTCTTGCCTCACGTGGTTGCTCAATGCGTCTTCTAAATTATTATTGGACGGGCGCTCCTTTCTTTAGTTGACCCGTGGTCTGATGTGAGGAATTATTTTAGAAACGTTGTGTGGTGTCAGACGTCTTTGTAGCTAATCGTTTCTAACCAACCGAGGTTCGTCCCTCTTTAGATCAGTCTTAAGTGTGTTTTCTAACCTCCTCCTCACGCGTCGTCTTCACACGCTATTGTGGAATTTTGAAGGACCGCAGATTTGTGCACTTTACCATCACTTTAGTCCCCTGTACAGTTTACTCAGCTAAAATTAACTCTGTAGCATTCTGGCTCAATTTTGTTGTAATTTTTCTCCTGGCAGTTATCTACGATTTTCCTCTTTTTATCATTATGCATTAACTACGTTTGCAGGGTACTTAATCCTTTTAACATTCGTTCGTTTGTTTGTTTGTTTGTCTTCAGCAACCCATGTATGTGCTCTATGAGCATGCCGCAGGCTATGCCCTGTTCTCCGTCAAGGAGTTCGAGGAGGTTGGCATGCTGCTTCCTCAGGTGGAAGCATCAGTGACAGAGTTGAGTCGATTCAACAGCATCATAAAGCTCGTAGGCTTTTCTCCCTTCAAGAATGCTCTTGCAGCCCTGGAGAATGTCAATGGAGTCTCTGAAGGTAAGGCTGTTGTAAAACTGCTAGGCCTGATATGCTGATCATTTTTCTTGACATTCTCTGGTTTCATCTGAGCCCAGGGCGGTCAAATCTAACATTCAATCGAAATTTTGGGTGCCTATCTCCTTGGAGATGAAAGTTGTGCACATATTGAAATTAAGTCATCCTGCTTATAATATTTTTACCTCTAGCTATTAATTAATTAAATAATTAATTCCTTAAGAATTGCAGAAAAATATTAGTTTGCATGCCTTGCTGGAGCCCGGGTTGGCACATCTTGTGTTCTGTGTTACTCTATTAAAGCCTTCCTTTTTCTAATTTTCACATTTGAGTTTGAATCTGCTTAGTTTTCTAGCATTATGTTTGAAAACACATTTTTATTTGAATGGATTGCAAGTCTGAGAAAGGCTGTGTACTCACCATGAGCCATTGACCTTCCTGAACTTTGCTAAATTAATTGGGCATCTTTGAGTTGGGATCAGCTTACAATGATTCCAATGATAAAATGTCGGACACGACTTTTTTTGTTATTGTTGGTTTGCAAGCACTAGCTGGTCTTTGGCATGAGCCTCTGGCCATCCTGAACCTTGCTAAACTAAATGGGCATGTTTGAGTTGGGGTCAGCTTACAATGACTCCAATGATAAAATGTCGGATATACTTCCTTCCATTGACAACTGTTCCAAATATGAAAGGCAGAAAATTGATTTTAGGATATTGAGAGGGGTTGCGTGATTGATTGATTGATTGATTGATTGAGAGGGGTTGCGTGATTGATTGATTGATTGATTGATTTTTTGTTTCAGGCATTATGCATGATGATCTCAAGGTGTTCCTGCAGACCCACATCATGAAGCCCAAAAAGGTTCAGCTGGGTGTGAGTGATCCCAAGCTTGGTGCGAGCATTAATGAGATTTTAGGCATTTCCTGCACTCACATTGGTGTTGTCCCTGAAATAATTCGAGGTAATTTGTTCATTACTTGCTTTGATTCTGATCCTGCTTTGATTTCTTATCCATGATTTCACTCTCACTTAAATATTTTTCTCTAGGTATCCGTTTCCACTTCCACAATTTAGTGAAAGGATTCACTGGCAAGTCTTCTGGTATTGCTCAACTTGGTTTGGGACATGCCTACTCAAGATCTAAAGTGAAGTTTAATGTTAACCGAGTTGACAACATGATCATTCAGAGTATTGCGTTGTTGGACCAGCTTGACAAAGATGTTAACACCTTCTCTATGAGGATACGGTACTTGCCTCATTTAAGATACAAGTTGTATGTGCAGTCAATTTTCTAAGCTTTTCTAATATATATATTGTTTTGTTTTTTTCCCCCAGTGAGTGGTACTCTTATCACTTCCCAGAGCTTGTCAAGATTGTACCAGAGAATTACTTGTATGCTAAAACTGCCAGATTTATCAAGAACCGCAAAGACTTAACTGAAGAAAGTTTAGAGGGGTTGGAGGAAATTGTTATGGATAGTTCCAAGGCTCAGGCTATTCTAGATGCAGCCAAGATGTCAATGGGTTAGTATTTTCCTCCCTCATTTATCTTATTTTGACTTGAGGAAATGATGATAAAATAAGCTTTGATTTTTGTGATAGTGTTGTAAGTACAACCCAGATCCTCAAATGTCAAATTTTATTTCAGCAAGTAAACACTTTCTTCTTCTCTTGCTCATTGCATTCCTCTAAATTTTTAGGTATGGACATCTCACCTGTGGATCTGCTCAACATTCAAACATTTGCTTCTCGTGTGGTATCTCTAGCCGACTACAGACAGGAAATGGCTTCCTATTTAAGAGTGAAGATGGAGAGTGTGGCACCAAATCTTGCATGCCTTGTTGGAGATCAAGTCGGAGCTAGGCTGATTTCTCATGCTGGTTCGCTCACTAACCTTGCCAAGTATCCTGCTTCCACTGTTCAAATCTTGGGAGCTGAGAAGGCACTTTTCAGGTTGGTAGAATGGTCTTGCTTGGATTTCCCCATGTTAAGTTTTTATGTTCAAAGCTGTAATACGTATCTTGCTATTTTCAGAGCGCTAAAGACACGCAGTAACACCCCTAAGTATGGTCTCATCTACCACTCTACCTTTATTGGCCGAGCATCATCTACAAATAAAGGGAGGATTTCTCGCTATTTGGCCAACAAATGTTCCATTGCATCAAGAATTGATTGCTTCTCAGACAACCCTACCCATGTGTTTGGAGAGCATCTCAGACAACAAGTGGAAGACAGACTCAAGTTTTATGACTCTGGAGATATTCCCAAGAAAAATATTGATGTTATGAAAGAAGCCCTTCAGGAAGTTCTGGAGGCTAAACCTTCAGTTGAGGTAAATTACAGTAGTTTGTCTATACCAAATAATGCTGGCCTAGTTTATTGTGTTGTGCTTAATTTTGTATCTCACCAATGTTTGTGTACTTCCAGGAGGTTACATCTGAGAAGAAAAAGAAAAAGGACAAGAAGCGAAAGTTTTCAGAAACAGAGAATGGAAATGGTGTTACAAATGGTGATGGTGGTCACAGTTTAAATGGTGAAGAGCCCAAGAAGAAGAAAAAGAAGAAGAAGTCCAAGAGTGAAGATTGATTTATCTAGGTTTTATAGCAAAAGTGCTGTTTTCTTTTTATTTTTCAGGACATAAAATGCCATTTTTTAAGAGTCATGTTTCAGAAATGCACTACATTTGGCTGTTCATTCCTCTAAAGCTATGTTGTGATTTAAGTGAATCAAGTATTGGGATTCCAGTTTAAAGTTTATTATAAATATCTCCATTATTTACCCTCAGATCCTGCCATGTGATTTGCCCCGTTTGTTATGTTGTTTGATTGCTACTTCTTGTAATGTATTGTCCATACATTTGTGGGAGTGAGTAATTTACTACTTGAGTTGTTGTGAACATGTGACAAAACCAATAAATTTATCAGTGTGTTTCGTTCATGGCTGTTCCTACAAATTAGTACTTGAATTATTTTCACAAAAGTTTATTTATATAATGTACACAATCTAGTTCTTCAACATTGACATTCCTATTAAAATCACAGTTGTCGGTAAGTTAGCACAGTGTTCAAGACCACTTAAACTTGCTTCTTGCCTTATGTCTATATCCAAAACCTGAGAATTTTGGTTAAACAGTTATGTACAAAGTAAACTGGGGCATTTTGGAACGCTCCATGTACTAGAGCAGTGTCAATTAGGATCATTCACCTGAACTCGGCTGAAGAGAGCCTTGTGTAAGCAAAGGATTCCTTGCCACTGATACGAATTTTTAATTGAATAGATCCTGATGCATTGAAGCGTCTCATTCTGACAGTAAGGTCCCATAAATTAAACAGTCTTTGATTCCGTCGCAAGACCAAGACGCACTCGTTTTAAAGCTCGTTGTGTGAGTACTCTGTCGTTGCCCTTATATCCTCTTCGTGGAATTCCGCGCACGATTCCTTGGGGTGGTATTTCGCCGAGCAGTTGTGGTCTTCTACTGCTGCATTGTACAGTTTCCAGAAAGGCGTCTCATTGTTGCCAGACATGAACCATGCAGCGACCATGCTGTAAAAGAAGGCATTACTGTAGTTGGAATTTGCTCGCCCTCAACAAAGTCAGCAACGATAGAGTAAAAGAAGCCAGTTGTCACCTTGAGAGTTTGGTGACGCCCGGCTTGATGCCGGCCCCCTTGCCGGGCTGGTCGTGCTGGTTCACGACGCACAACACGTAGGCGCCGCACTGGGGCACCTTCGTCGAGTACCGGTAGGCCCTGTACACGCGCAGCACGGGCTCCACCACCTCGCCGTTGAGAGTGTCGGAGAGCTTGTTCTCGATGTCGGCGGAAGACAGGGCTACGATGCTCATACCCTTACTCTGGCCCAGCCTCAGCACCTCCTGAAAGCACACAGAAGACAGAAGATGAGCAAACTGTTGGAGGGGTTGCGGACTTCCCCTGCGCCCCGGCGCGACGCGGCTGCGTGTGATGGGTTGCCTACGTCACCGGCGCCGACTCAAATGGCTCCATGCGTGAACCGGCACCGGCTGGCGGGCGGTATTGAATCAGTTTATGAAATTTTTCGGACCTTTGTGGCGTCAAAGAGGGCGTCCAAAATCAAAACCGACCGCGAGTGAAACTGGCAAAGACGTATACACCGCCCTCCAGTGTCGGTCAGGCGGGCCGTTCGGGCCGTTCGGGCCGTTGCGTTGGCTGCCCTGCTACCTTACCTGAACGTAGGCGACGGCGGGCTTGATGTAGGTAGCAGCGTTCACTTTGAGGCCAAAGTGCCTCTTGAAGACGGCGTTGGCGAGCAGCGACAGCGACTCGGCGGGGCGACTGGGGTCGAAGTGGGTGGCTTTGGGGTAGCCCTGAGCCTTGAGGAAGCTGTTGCCGACAAACTGGGCCGTCGTCATGTACCTGCAACGCAAACTGGATCAGTCGTGGCTCGGGGTTCAACTCCGGTCGCAGCCCTCGTTTCGCGACGCCCCCGCGACGCCATTGCAGGTCGGAGCGGACGCTGACGCGGCCCGCCGTTCCCGCCACGCGCGGCGCTCGCGAACAAAAGGGTCATGAAGTAAGGGGCATGCAGGCTGGCGGGCTACACGGGCGGGCTGGCCCAAGGGCTGGCCATGCCTGAAGGCAGCGCAACGTGGCGCCATTGTAGACTCGGTGGGCCTGGATGGCCTGCTGACTGATTCCGCGATTCCGTACAGTGATGTGAGGGATGTTCCTCACACTTGTCAGCACAGCTACAGTCGTTTTTCTCCGACTTGTCACGGTCGCGGCCACGGTCCGGTCGTCCGTTGCGGTGGATCCAGGAAACGTCTCAAGCGAGCCTCGAGGCACTCAAGGGGTGGGGGAAAGCAATAACTGCGCAACTGTAACGCTACAGGACCTCACTGGGCCAAACTGTGCCCTGCCCCCCCCCCCCTCGTGGGCAAGCTTCGGAAAAGTTTCCTCCTGCCGTGTTCGCAAGCACGCGCCGCGAATCCGCGAAGAGCACGTCCTCAGCCTCAGGCGGTCCCAGGCCACGTTTGCTGCCGAAAAACACGACCCGGCGACCACGGCGCCACGGCCACGCCTAGCGGCATGGCGCTGCGGCACGGCGCTGCGGCCGCGGCCGGGGTCATTGTCTCCGCGCGTCGTGGAGGAGCACGTCGAGCACGTCGAGCACCTCGCGACACCTTGTGGCGGCAGGGCGGAGGCGGCAGGCAATTCAATTGCGTAGCTGCGTAGCCACCGAGAGAGGTGTGGGTGGGTGCCTTGCAGTGCCTTGCAGTGCCTCGGCGCCTTGTCCCGTTGTGTCACAGTGTCGCGCTGCCTGGCGGCGCGGCGCGGTGTGGAGTGCCGAGTGGGGCTGAAGCCCGGGGCTAAAGCCCGGCGTCGTGGGCGTATCGCCGGCCTGTCACACACTTGCCGCACCGGCATCGCACCGCGCTATCAAACCGCCAAACTACAAATTCTGCGAGATTAGCGTGACGGCCGGATGACCCGCCCCCGCTGGGTAGGCAGCCCGGCGACCGCAGCCTCTTCCTCCCTCCCAACCCCTCCCCTTCCACCCGGCCAAGCCGGCAGGTTTGTCGGTCACACTTGGACTTTGGACGACTTGGAAGTATACACGTAGTAAACCTGTTGCCTCCGGACTTCGGACAACTCCGGAGCGGACGGGACGGTGCCATCCACGGCAGCGACGGGGCGGGCTATTTCAGGAAACAGGATCATCGAGACGCGTTGCGTTGCGTCGTGTTGCGCTGCAGCGGGCGGGGCGGGGCGGGGCGGGGCGGGGCGGGGCGGGGCGGGGCGCCACCTCTCCCGGCGTGAGCCTTCGCGACTCACGCGGCGCACGGCGCACGCAGACCTCGGTTGAGTGACCTGAGGTACCGGGTACCCGCCGTGGCCCCAGTGCTACCGGCGCTACCGGCGCCAGAAGCGCGGAGGGCAGCGGCAATCGCAGCCGCCTGACTCCAAGGGATCGTTTGGTTGCTCTGTCTCTCTCGCACTCATGGGAGCGCCCCGTGAGTGCGAGAGAGACAGAGCGACGAAAGGATCCTCCGGAGTCTGACGGAAGACAACCCGCAGCCGCCGGCCGCGGGCGTCCGCACCCCGCAGCGAGCACGACTTCCCCCGCGACGATTTCGACGAGAGCTTCAACAGGCCCCAGAGCCCTGGGTTTAGTCCTTGGCTGCGCTTGGCCCAGTGGGTGAGCCACAATGGGTCAACCAGGTTGCTTCCAGAGAGGACGGGGTCCTCTCTGGTCGCTTCCGCAGGGACCGCATGCAGGGACGCTGCGACATCGACGCGATCGACGCCGAGGCGCACCCCTCTGCTAATGGCCCCAGGTGGCAGCGCGGCAGCGCGGCAGGCCGAGCTTGGCCGATCGTGTGTCCAAGTCGAAACGTTCCAATTAGGAAGAAGAGCCAACAACCTCGACGAGGCTGAGGCTGCGAGGCTGTGCGAGGCTGTGCGAGGCGCCCCGTGTCGTCCACCCCAGCCGGACACGTCGGACACGCCCACTTTGGCCTAAGCGGGATCCACAATTTGCCGAAGCTAGCCGAGGCGGCTGCTGGCTGGCCGGCCAGCATCATTGTGGCCATTCTTCGCGGTACTCACTCCGCGAAACTGCGAGCCATTCCGTCCGAGGGGGCGACCACGTTCGATGTTTAGGGACACAAGAGTTTTCGCAAGATTTCGTCCAATTTTACGCCTAAAATCTGCTTGTTTTTGTTTTTTGGCTTTCTGGGGAAAGATTTCGGATTTCTAGAGATTTCAAGGGATCCAGGGGATACAGGATTTCTCGAGTGGTTGCCCCCTCGATTCCGTCGCACGAGTGTTCCGTCCAAAAAGCCTCGCAAAGCCTCGCAAACCTCTTTGTCGTCGAGGTTGCACGTCGAAGCGTGCGCCTCGCGCCGCAACTTGAAAGGGTGGCAATGGAAGGCCATTCGCGTTATCAGGGCCATCGCCAAAGTGGCATCACAACAGGTGTTGACGCGAGCCAGTGGCCAGCCTGCAGTCTGCTGCAGCTGATTCCCTTTTCGCCAAAACTCCCTGCGACCGCGCGGCATGGAGTTGGCAGGGAGTAGCGCGGGGAGGGGGGAGTGGTTGCGTCAGGTGGGGTCAGTGACCACGCGTCACTTGTGACGTCATACGCGGCAGAGAAAAGAGGGGGGGGAGCTGTGCGAACTATTAGTGTATCAACCTATCATTCCACTTCGAAACGATAGAAAAATAGGCCTGTGCGGTATTCCCTAGCCTTGGGTTGCCGTCCTGCCGGTAACCCGCCCGCCCTCTCGCCCTGTGCGTGCGATTGACCTTGGCCGTGGCCGTCGTGGCCGTGGCCGTGTGCTCACCTGGCTTGAGTGGCCGGGTCCGCGACGCGCTTCACCCACTCGGCCACGAAGCTGGACAGCGACTTAATCCAGCGGCGACGGAAGGACGCGTTCTCCAGCGACGCGAAGATGCGCTCGGTCTGGAAGCGGCCCGTCTCGGGGTCCGTGAACAGCTTGAGCAGAGCGCCGAGCCCGGAGTTGGCCCAGAGCGTGCGGCCCAGCTCCGACTCGGAGAAGTGCTCCCACATGTCGTACAGCTTGTCCAGGAAGGGTGGCAGCAGCGTGGACTTGTGGCTGTGCACGTGGTGGCCCTGGTGGCCGTCCGTGATGACGTCGTCCTCGTGGTGGCTGTGGCCCGCCGCGCCGAGGCCCTGCATCAGCAGCGGCAGGGCGTTCAGCAGGCCTTCCCCGGCCTGGCCGCCGCCCTGGCCGCCGAGCACGGACGACGCCACTCCCATGAGCGCGCCCCAGTCCATGGAGCCATCCTGCTGCTTGCCGCCGACATCGTTGTTGTTGACGTCCACGTCGTTGTCCGCGGCCTCATCGTCGCCGGACTTGGTGAAGATGTCCATCATGTGGCCGATGATGGCCGGGTCCAGCCCGCCGGCGCCACCCCTACCGCCTCCCAGCATGGAACCCACGCCCGAGAGGATTTCGGCCATGCCCCCCGCTTTGCCGGCAGCCAGCATGTCGCCGAGCTGGCCGCCGTCGGACAAGCTCTGGAGGAGGCCGCCGACTCCCGCGAGGACCTGCGCGCCGCCACCGGTGCCCCCCTCGCCGCCGTCCATGGAGTCCTGCAGCATCTGCTTGGCCATGTCCAAGAAGGGCATGCCCTCCTCGGCGTCGTGGGCGGCACAGCATGCGCCCAGCGCCACCAGCAGCAACACGTTGACGCGCATCTTGGGGTTGGCGACGAGCACCTGCGCTTGACCGCTACGCACGCCTGCCTACCGCACTACCACACAATCACTTGCAACGCCACGCGACGCCACGCCGTCACTGCCTCGGCACAACTGAGGAGCCCAGCCCGGGGCCCACCGCCGATGTTGCCGCCGGCCCGAGCCCGCCGCGCCGACGCCGAGCCTGCCTCCTATCCAGGCCTCACCTGTAACGGGACCGCGAGGCGGGGCGTGGCGGGGCGTGGCGGGGCGTGGCGGAGGGGGAATCTCCGGTGTGCTCCGCTCCGCCATGAGCCGAGGCGAGGAGGACGACCAGGGGAGCCAGGCTGAGCATTCCAGCGGGCGAGACAGCTTTGCCGCCCTGCCTCGCCGTCGCTGCTGCGGTTGCTGCTGTGCTGCTGTGCCCACGGAACCCGGGGAAGGTCATTCACTTTATTTTCCCGGACCAAAGTGTCGAGCAGAGTGGGTTTCGGTTTCGACTTGGCGCTGCCATTTCAGGTGACGAAAGGGAGGCGCGAGGCAGTGCGGACCGTCATTGGCGCTACCGCCGCAGTGCGTCAGTTACGTCTCCAGGCAGTCTGTGTGCGCTTAGCCATAAAGTGAGGCATCCTGGGAGGACTGGTAAACTACGAAGTCGGCACTGATACTTTGGCGGCGGCGAGTCAAGAGCCTCTCGTGCCGGCCCGGCCGCGGGCCGTGCCCGCCTTGCCGGCCAACGTGGCTCGTCGAAGCAGCCTATCGCAGCGACCGAGCGAGAACATGGCCAGACATGGCGTCGTGGATAAAGTCCGGACCTAAGTTGCGCAATACAGAGCGCACCCCGTTTCACGTATGCAGCCCAGTGACCGTTGCAGCGTCCGAGACGCCCCCGCATGGGATCCGTCGTCCGATATGCGTGGCAAAGTGATCTTCCTTTGGTCTGCATTTCGTCTAGTTTTGGCCCGTTTCAAGACCACATTGGGACAGCGCGCGAAATGCCGGGCGCGCGGCGTAAGAGGTGCATACCTACACAGTGCCGTGAGTAGGATGGGTTGCCTACCCGTGCGGCGCTGCGGGTCAGCAGGATAGGTTGCCTATCCGTGCGGCGCCGTGGGTGCCCCGACCGTACTGTGGATCGGGCAGCAAGATGGGCTGGCGGTGTGGACAAATAGGGTAATAGAAATGTGCATACACTTTCTGGCTTCATTCGTTTATTCCACGCACTCAACACAATACAAGGATATTGTCACATTCCAATATTTATTAGATGTAAAAGGGGCACCTATATTTATGTCTCTCTCTCTATAGACCAAGAAAATGGGATAGGGGCTAGTGCATTGTGTTGAGGAAAAACATCAATTATGTAACAATCTTTTATATGCCTGCTTTTTGAGGAATATTTTATATATATATATGTATATGTACGATATATACTTATGCATGCAGGTAAATATGTTTTTGAAGCCAGAAATGTTACAATTTGAGGGAAATTAAATAGTATCACAGAACTCCATTAAGGATAATTAAAATGGTCATTTACATTGTGGATCTGTGAATCATATTCAGTTTTATGCTTCACACTGACAACATTTTTACATAATCTACAAAAGAGTAGGAAATTAAAAATGTGGAAAGTACAAATGTGTACATTCAACAGCCACAAAAGTGGGATATTTCTCCTAATATATGAGAAGGGAACAAAAATAATACTCAGTTATTTCTTGGAATATACGGCTTAAATCATAAAGTATGGTTTTAAAAGAGCTCAATAAACAGGCAAATGGCTTATACTGACTTAAATAACATCTTTTGCAACACAAATCATAGGAATATGACCACCTATGTGGCTTTGCTGCAGTGAACATCTTGAACTGACTACTGAACCAATGGTTCAGTGCCTTTACCCAGCATCAGAAAAATTAGATGACAAAATGGCTCAGGGATTGCTATTAAGTCATTTAATAATTCGTACTCGGCGAGGTAAAGAACTTGACATATTGAGATGTTAGCTGAAACAAAATTGTATTTTTGTAAAACATTACTCAACCATTGAAAATTTTTGTGCCTAAAATTTATAATATGTTAAGATAAAATCAAGGGGAAGGGGAAGAAGAAGAAACTTACCAGAGGTAGCAATTGCCTACTTGAAGAGCTTTTTAGCATAGCACCATATTTTGAAGAAATATTCATCTTTTTGAAGTAAGGACCCTTTGGCATAGGTTTCAATATCTGCGTCCATGTTGTTCTCACGCATCCATGATGTTGTAGTTTCTGTACTGAAACTGACTGATGGTGTATCTTTATCAGTAGCTTCAGCACGCTCATAATCAGCTGCATCCAAATCTGCATGAAATGCAAACCATGTCATCGATTCAATTATTATGTACTGGACAGTAAATAGAATAAACAGAAAACAATGGTTTCCTGTACAAAAAATGTAAAAAAAAATCACGAACCAGATGGTTTTAAAACCTTGAAGGGTTCTTCGGACTCCAAGGGTTCACTAGACCCTACTTCATTTACAGCAAAGATGCGAATAAGATATTCATGATTTTCCTAAATGAGACAATTGGAGATTTATGTTCAGAAGTTGCGTTCAAAAATACAACTAGCAGAGTACCACAGTAGAGTCTTACTTGGAGATCTTTGATGTTCAATTTTTGCACATCAGCCTTGACACGCCCAACTTCCATCCACATGGTTTTTCTTGTGTCTCGGATCGCAATTGTATATCCAGTCAATGGGGAGCCACCATCAGATTCTGGCGTACCCCATTCGATAACAACTGCATAAGGACCAACTGCCAGTATTTCCAATGGTGCAGTTGGAGGAGATGGTGGAGCTACTCAGAGAAAAATGACATTAATATTTGGTAAACTAGTGCAGTATAATTTCTTCTTTAAGCACATAAACCAGTAGTTTATGAAAGGCTGACCCAGCCATGAACTTACTTGCATGAGTTTTCAATTGGATTCGATCTGTTGATGCTGGTGGGCTCAGACCTACTGAATTTTCAGCCAAGACCCGGAATGTGAACTCTGACTTTTCCTTCAGGTTTTCACAGCAATACTGAGTGCAGCTTGGTTCCAATGTGGCCATTTTAACCCATTTTTGGCTTCCTGCATCCTGGCGCTCAACAATGTATCCTGGGAAAAAGGTTTTTGTTTGGTTGGGAAGAGTTCAATGCAGGAGTTTTGACGCTTAAAAAAAAAATACCCTCCCCAAAAAATAAAAAGTTTGTTACCTGTAAGATCAGTGCCTCCGAGGTTTTCTGGAGGTCCCCACTGTAGCGTTACACTGCGGCTAGTTATGTCTATCACAGTAAGATTTGTTGGTGCCGAAGGGGATGCTAAAAGTAAATGATAAATTATCAGAATATTTCAAATGAATCAACACAGATTTCCGTTTTATGTAGCAGCAGACAGATAACTATTCTAATATATATATACTGTATATATAAATGAAAAATAATAATAAGAGAGCTGGATTAAGAGGCACTGCAAGCAAAAGCAGCAAAGCTGATGCATGCACCTGCAGCTAATCTAATACATACCCTTTTTCTCTTCTAATACGATAGGCCTTACAGGAAGATATACCATTGGTCGAGGGGGAAGCTTCACTCTCGGTTTGATGTCTTTAGGCTTTTGATATTTCTGTACTGTCACGCTTTCTGAGGAACCAGGAGGCCAGACTTTACTAGATTTTGAGCTAATTGTTTCCACAGCATCCTTTTCCTGCTTTTCTGGCTGTGATGCTTCTTTAGTTGATCCAGATCCACTCACAGGGAAAAAGGTAAGGATGGTTCTCAAATCCTCTTCAGTGACATTCTTTAATTTTGAAGCATCAATAGATTTACCCGGGGGGGCTTTATTCCTATTGACCTCATACTCAGACGCAAAAGAATCTTTCCGATTCTCTATCACCAAATATGAAGGTGACAGTTCAGTTGTGACAGGGAGACTAAGGGATACTGCCAGAGCCTCTTGTTCTGAAGTGAGCAAAGATCCACTGGAAGCCTTTCTTGCCGAGAAGTCAATAGAAAGAGTCCTTTGATGTGGAACCAAGTGGGAGAGTTCATCTGAACTGTCAAGGTTCAAAGCAGGGGTGGATGGCCTAGGTGAGACTGATGGAGAGAAGCTTTGAGGGAAAGAGGGTGATGGCGATCGGGCTGGGAGGGAACTGAGAGCTGGAGTCAATAAACTTGCGGGAACTCCTGTATCTCTAGATGCCCCTGGAACTACAAGAGATGGGCGTGGAGCAGGAGTGGGTGGAAAAGACAAAGGCTTGTGACGAGGCTTAGGGGATGGCAGTGTAATAGTTGGGATTTCCTCTTCATTATTTGGAGCTTCCTCCACTTGTACTCTTGTTTTGGACGGCTGGCCTGTGTTAAAATAGCATGCAAGCAATAATTTTGGCATCAAAGCTTGCGCAGAGCAGTTTCAAGCAGAAACTAATGGCAAAAGCATTATCTTATCTGACAACAGTCTCAAAGGTTTCGCAAAAGCAAGGCTAATCAAAAAATTTTCCTTTTCCTAACAAGGTATATCTATTTCTACTCACTAATCATTTTTCCAGCTGTGATAGGTTCCTCAGGTGCATATGGAGGACCACTGCCAACTATATTAGATGCAGTTACACGGAAATTGTATGGTGTATTCGCTTTCAGACCAGGAACATCAATGAATGTAACTTCCCCAGAGGTGGTTCCAACCTGAAATTTTGAAGTAAATGTTTAGATAGGCTGAAAATAGAAAATAAATCACATTGGAACATATTTTTTTTTTCAATCTATTATATACCTTCTGCCATGCTTTCTTTCCAGCTTCACGCCTTTCAAGAATGTATTCCAAAATTGGTGAACCACCATCACTCTCTGGCGGTTGCCACTTCAATGTAAAGGATGTTTCAGTCATACTTGAAATTTCAAATGGACCTCGAGGAGCAGATGGTTTATCTGAATACAAACATTAAGAATTTAGTGTTCACTTTCATACTATAATTAAAAAACAATAACATACAAATTTTTGTTTTACTCACCAAAGGCACTTCTTGGAGTCACTGGCGGACTTTCAAGAGGTTCTGACAGTCCAACAGGATTTTGAGCAAAGACTCTGAACATGTATTCTGAGTCTTCCTGAAGCTTTTGCACACAATACAATTGAACATCTTTGTCTACATCAGCAACCTGAAAATGAACACCACATTAGAAAGTGTAAAAATGAGTAAATATCTGTTTGAAAACAGTCATCATTTTACCTTGGTCCAAACCATACGCTTAGTTTCACATTTTTCAATTGAATACTTTGAAAGTTCTAAGCCACCATCGTCAACAGGAGGCTTCCAAGTAAGGGTAACAGACTGACTATCGACATCCTTCAATCCCATAGGACCCTGAGGCTTGCCTGGTTTGTCTAGAAAAAGAAAATGAATGAGTCCAAATTCAACATACTAATGTTGAGAATTACTGTTGATGACCAAAGAGTGTACAAAAACACATTGTCAAGATGCACAAAAAATATATAATGCACAATTAAGGACTCGTGCAGAAGTTGATTTTGTGACGTATGCATATTTGATTCAATGACTGCTGCTGGTGGCTGCGATCACTTGAAACTTACCCACAACCCTTAGTTCCACGTCTTTGTTTGCAGATCCAGCTCTGTTAGTGACTGTAATTGTGTATCTGGCTGAATGTTCTCGCAACACACTATAAATTGCAATAGTTGAACTACTTTCATCAGTATGAATGACAGTAGTTTTATCTGATGAAATTTGCTTTTCATTTTTGCTCCAAGTCACTTCAGGTTTGGGATATCCTGTGAAACTAGCTTTAACTTTCCATTGCTCTTTCACAGGGAGGCGTTGGTTGAGTAAGGCCTCCTCAATTTCTATTGTGGGGACATCTGCAACACATGCCATGCAAACCATGCAGATTTGAAGCATGCAACTCATACAAATGTGCAACAGCCAAGGGATGAAATCTATTTATCCCATATTATAACAAAATATTTCTTACCTTGTACACTGAGATCGCAACTAGTCTCAACAGATCCAGCTTCATTCTTTGCTTGACAAGTATACTTGCCCACACTCTTTTCAGTTGACTGATTGATAGTGTACTTAGCAACATGGTCTTCATATTTCATTGTCTTTTCTTTGATAACAGTACCATTCTTAAGCCTAGAAAAGAAAAAAAAATGGTCCAATAAAAAATTTATGACACATTATTGCAGATCAGGTGCTAAACTTTTATGGATGAAATACGGTATGTTATACAAATGAAATACCATTTGATATCAGGAGCAGGAGTGCCGCTGATCACACATTGTAGTGTAGCAGGCTGACCAAGGCCAACAGTGGTGTCCTTAAGGGGCTCCATAACTACAGGAGGCTCTGCTGCACCTGATTTGGTGATACGAATGAAGCGAGTCGCTGGGGATGGTTCTCCAGGTCCAGCCTCATTCACCGCCAGCACTCGGAATGTTAACTCAGCGTTGGTGGTCAACTTTGAAATTTTATGGGTGGTTTCAGTGATCCGGGTATCTTTGCAAGCATTATTCCATCTGAACAAAATAGAATGTCACATCCCCATAGCATGACTAACTTATTAAAGAGCATTGAAAAATAATTAATGCCTGTACTCACGTGAACTCTCCTTTAGCATGGTATTCCAAAATGTACTCGAGGATTGGAGAGTTGCCATCAGATTCAGGAACTTTCCAATGTAATGTGATGGTGTCATTGGTCACCTCCAGAACATCAGGTGTACCTGGCGCACCTGGTGGTTCTGTAAGGAAGTGGTGGAATCCAATAATAGATAAATAAAATTGCATAAAAACAACACAATGACAGTTCATTTGCAACCTCAATTTTAGGTAAATAAAATGATGAAACTTGGAATTGCTGACTACGCTTTAGGACCAGGAAACCAAAGAAGGTTAGATAAATAGATAATGTTTTTCTTTCTCTTAATTCAACGCACCAATAAGAATTAATGTGAGATCTGCTGACGCCTCTCCACTTGTATTTTTCAGCTTGATCTTGTAATTGCCAACATCACTTTCCTCCACTTTCTTAATTGTGAGGCTGGCTGAACTTTCACTTATAGACGGAATGGCCTAAAAAAATTTCAGACAATAAGAAGCACTGTTAATTTAATATTGTACGTCCAGAAAAATAAAAATAAGAACAATAAGTGACCCATACCTTTTTAGATTTTTTAATTACAGTTCCATTCACAGACCACTCATCTGTTGGAGGTGGTGTTGAAACAAATTTCACCTCCATAGTCACATCATTACCCTTCTTTACCTTGTACTCATTCTTAGGTACCTCAATAATTGGAATGGCTGCAAAATCAATTTATTTATTAAAATGAGACACAAAAAGGGACATGAATAAAATTGTCAAACAGTTACGCTGCAATGATACCTGTTACAGTCAATGATGCACTTGAAGTTTGATCTCCAACCTGACAGGAGAAAACACCTGCATCTGAAAGCTCAGCATTATATATTTTCAGCTTCTGGCGTTTGCCATCAATGGCTAACTGAATGTGCTCTGAGAACTGAAGTTCCTTTCCATCTTTAAACCACTTCACAAGAGCATCCCCCTTGGTCAGCTCTATTTCTAAAGTAGCTTTGTCTCCTTTAGGTACAGTTGTGTCTCTTAGTTTTGTGATGATTTCAGGTGGCAGTTCTGTCGAGACCAATTATAGTAAATTAACAAAGCTATATCCTTTCGAAACTTTACAAGGATAAGAATTAAAGTGGACGACTAACCAATGACAGTGACTTCCGCTGAGCATTCTTGATCTCCAAGCGAACAGGTGTATTCACCTTCATCATGCACAGAAGTACTACGAATAAGGAGCCGCCGAATGCCTCCTTTCTTTTCAAACAGCACTTTCTCTTTGGCTTCTTTCAACTGTTCCCCATCCTTGAAACCACAAAATAAAGGTTTACATAGGCAAGAAAAATAAATAAGGACTACTCCCATGAAATGAACAAATGCAACATCAATTACCTTGTGCCATGTAACTTCAGCTGTATCTGATGATACTTCTACTTCAAGAACAGCAACTTCACGCTCTGTCACCTCTATGTCCTCAACCTTACGCACAAACTCTGCCTTTGATTCTGCAAAAAGAATAAAACGTAAACACAAGCATGGCATTTAGCATCATAAAACGAACATGACAAAGTTATATTTCTTACCACTAACTGAAACTGTACATTCAGTTGACTGGTCTTTGACTTTGCATGCATAAGTACCAGCATCCACAGCTTTGGTCTGCTTGATTATTAAACGATGGACTCTGTTCTCTTGGACAATTTCTCTATGGTCCATCCCGCTTAGCTCCTTTCCATTATGATACCATTTAGTAGATACGGTATGAGATGTTTCACATTCCAATTTAATTGAACTACGTTCATCTACGGTAATAGACTTCTGAAGTTTTCGTGTGAAGGTTCTGCAAAAAAGTAAAATTGAAAACGGTTAATTCAATGAAATAATTCTTTATGAATATGGCTTCAAACGCAACTGACGAAACTTACACTTTGTCAACATCTACTGTTACTCGGGCTCCATGAGAAGCCTTACCACTTGGATTGCTTGCCAAACACTTGTAGTCACCAGAATCCAGCTCTGAATCTGCCCCACTTACTTGCAGGGTAACAACTGTACCGTCAAATGTTTCCTTTACCCGGGGAGACGGCTGAAGTGGCTCATTATTCCTAAGAAATAAAGTTTCATCATTTTATATAATCACTATACATATTTTGTCAAAAGCCGGCAGGTACTGGCCATACTTACTTGAACCAGGTAATTTGTGGAGTGGGGTTTCCAGTAACCTTGGCCACAAGTTTGATTGTGCTTTTTTCCTTCACCTTCAGCTCCTGGAAACGCTCGATGAAAAGCGGTGGCTCCGGTCGTGGCAATTCTGCAAATTTAAACGAATTACCAAACGATTCTTTGGAACAACTGATACAGTGGAGCTCCCGAGAAAAAAGAGGGACTGCCCGTAAGAAAGAGGCTGTTTGGTGGAAAGGGGTTGGCATGCACAGAGAAGAAAGCGTACCAAATCAACTTTGACTGTGAGAAAAGTGGGGCTGCCCATAAGAAACAGGCAAACGGGCCTACAAAACTCACGGGAGGAGGGGTATACGACGGTGTACAGACAAAGACGGTTCAGCGGGACACGAGAGCCTGTAGCGCCTGCTGGGTAGGCAAGGAACCAGTCCAGCAACGCACCGGTGTGAGCATGGTGGCCTACCTTGCCCCTGGCTCGGACAATGGAACGGCACAGACGGGCACGGTCTAAAGGGAGGCCGCTCGTTGGTTGGCCCTTCTAGAGCCCCTGATTACCCCTTCGGCGCTCTAGGCCCTCCAGGAGCTCTGCTGGGGCAAGGTAGGCCACCGACTTGACACCGGTGCGTTGGCTTGATTGGCGTTACTGGCTGCGCAGTTACTCCGAGTGAGTCGACACGGCGCTCATGATCATGGTCACATGCCTGGTCTACACAACATTCCTCTGAGCCGACCAATAGGGGTAGCCACAAGACATAAAAAGGACGTCCGGTGAAGAGACAAGGGCGCGGCACGCGCACGCTAAAATGGCTAAAATGTGCTCCCACGGTCTTTACGGCGTTACAGGCCGAGCACGTGCTCAGAACGTGTGACAAGGGCAAAGCTCATACCCTTTAACTGTCCGCCAATAGACTTCTTCCTCGGCAAGGGCGGCTTCTTGTCGGTAAGCGCTGCGATTTGGAAGCAAAGCAAGTGTTAGTGCTTTAGTTCTAGCCTACACAACACTTCTAGAACTCAACGCGAATGTAAAATTGCATTAGAAGACCGAGGACAAGGTTCGAGCAAATGTCATAATTCTGCTCTTTTAATGTAAAACGACGGCTAAGCGTGATTCGCGTTCGGAACACACGAACTTCAAAATGTGACACAATTTTTACGACGGCAAAATTTTTTCACAGTAAGACAATTATATAGTCTGCACCACAATAGAACCTAATCAGCAAGCAGACGTCCACGCAATACAAGCAAAGCGTCTTTTCCTCCTCTGGAAGGCCCAATCTAGTAGACATAAGGGAGGCTGCTGCAAACGATATTTTTGCAATCTTATTCCTCACCTTCGACAGTGAGCGTCGCGCTAGTCTCGCACTTGCCGACCTCGTTGGCAGCCTTGACGGTGTACTGCGCCGAGTCGGACGCCTTGGGCTGTATCAGCGTGAGCGTGTACGTGTCACCGTCGGCCTTGGTGGGCAGTTTAGGGGCCGCCTTGCCGTCCTTGTGCCACGACACCTGCAGGCAGAGGATCATTGTGTACACGATAAACAACTGCAATCTCCTACCCAACAGAGTGGCAACCGAGTCTCACCTTGGGTTTGGGGTTGCCCACAATCTGGGTGCTCAGCACTGCGCTGTCTCCCTCCCGAATTGTGACACTCCTGAGCGGCTCGAGGATCTGCGGGGCTTCTTTCTCACCTGTCTGAACCTGCGGACACAACGCTGTGCCATTAACATCCAATTCATCCCAAACTTGTGGCCTGGTTCAGACCGAGACGTGTACCTTGACGGTGATAGTCATGCTGGCTTCTCCCTCGCGGTTCTTTGCCACGACCGTATAGGTGCCCTCTTGGGTGCGCGTAATCTTGGAGATGCGCACAACGCTCGAGTATGAGTGCATGTCAGAGTCCATAGACACTGTCACGTTCTTGTCCGTGGTGATCTCCTTGCCGTTGAAAAACCATGTGACGTCTGGCTCCGGAATAGCGACAAGTCTGCACTCCAGGTCGACGTCCTCCCCGACAGGGACGCATTTGGCCTTGGGTTTCCGGGAGAAAGTCGGTGGGATACCCTCAAGGATATCGGCGAGAGACGACTCCCTGAATCGAATGAAGTAGTTTGTTTAGGCCAAAGTAAACTCTAAACGCAATTTCCTGGCAAGGCCTCTAAAGAAACCGTGGAGGAGTGAATGAAAGACCACCGAATAAAGTGGTGCTGCATACTGACTGCCCGCTAGGAGAGAAAGAGACAAAGGGCGCACAAACCTGGACATGGACTTCCTGGATGGAGCGGTAATGTCAGAGCCGTGGTCGGACAAAGGAGCCTCAATATACAGCTCCGTGGTGCTGGACGCAAAGCCAACGTTGTTTTTAGCCACACAAGTGAAGAACCCAGCGTCCTCTGGGAAGACTTCGCGAATAATGAGCGTGGCCACGTTGTCTTCATCGTAATACATCTGCAAAAGTAAGTTGCAATTAAATAGTAGTAAAATCAAGTTTTTTTCAATCCATTTTCTTAGCGTACTTGGAAATCGGCTGACGGCTTGATGATGGCCGTTTCTCTGAACCAAGTGATCTGGGGCTTAGGGTTTCCTTCCACACGACACTCTAACTGCACCGTGGCTCCATCCGGAGCATGCTGCGGCTGGAGTTTTTCTACAAACCGCGGCGCAGAAGCTGTTTCTCCCGGGGCAGGCTCTGCAGAAAAAAAATGTTTAAAAATTACTTTTACACATTTTGTTTTAGGTCACACAAAAGAATTTCGCGATCTGTACTAACTTTCAAATACAGGCAGCTTATCAATCTTTTCATGGAGTGTGTGAGTGAGGTGGTGTGTGTATGACACCTCATCTTTCAGTATTTTTGCCGGTACCCATCCCTTTTCTGCCGTCAATGTTTTTCTCACAAACCACCAGTCTGAATTATGGCTCTCTGCAATCAAAATTGAATAACAGAAAAATTTCAACCCGATATTTGGACAAAACAGAAAAAGTCTGAAGGACTATTACCGAGAATATATACTCGCTCTCCTTCCACTAAATTCATCGCATCTTCATTTTCTGCTACGTAGGAGCAAATTGAATAAACGAGGTCTCCATCTGCCAGAACTACCCCTTCGGCTAAAAACAAGCGGTGTACGTTAGATCTTGCATGACACATGACTCCAAAAAAGTTATAAGTAACTTACGTTCTTCCTTGAGTACTTCGGTTTCCTTTGTGATGCTAAGAGATACATCCTCTGCGGAGAAACAATCAATGAAAACATTATTTACAGCAACAAAAACAATTAATATGATGTCAAAACAGCTTGCAAAGCAAAAGTTGGAAGCGACACAAGAAAATGGCCTTGTGAATTTAAAGCGAAGAGCAAAGTGCAAGGGAGCTTTAAAAGTGACGTGAGCAAGGGACGTCTTCTGTATTTCTTTTCGGGCGAAGAAGGTGTCAACACTTGTCATCCCCCTTTTAAATGATTTCTGCGCACGCAATTGAGTACATTTTAAATTTAATGTGGCAATCTAAATAAAATTTCTATTGAGCATCAACAACTCTAAATCTAGGTACACTTGCATCACTCAGCATTTCCCCGCTTTTGCTTATCGTCCAAAATAGAACAAACGTAATCAAAAATCCACGAACCAGTGGGCACGTTCCAACGAGTTCCTTGTTTTTTGATTACTTTCGTTCCTCACTCGGCGACGAGCGAAAGCGTCAGTTAAATCCCTCACAGGGTTGCATTTGGAACTAAAGAAACGCAAACAAGCAATCGACAGTAATGTTTCACAAATACATGGATTGTAAAAATCTGGAACGATTATGGCATCATTGTGGATTCTTTATTTGATAAAACTGAAGAAACATGAACAAAAGCAGCGAAAGAAGCAAAAGCGGAAAGCGTATGCTGACAGCATTTCCCCCAAACCTGTTTGCTCAGTCGGTTGTGAAGGTCGTCTTTTAGGCTTTGGTTTGAATGCCAACGATTCCTCTTCGTACACAACAGACTCCCTCTTCTCCTTTCTAAAGCCAACCTGAATTTCTTCTTCAATGTCTTGGATGCTGTACCTCTTTTCAGATGGCCGGCGTCGCAACTTAATTTCAAAATCTTCTCTAATTTTTTCTGGCTGCAAACCTTCGTCGTCACTCACTTCTTCAATAATTGGACCGCTTTCATCATCAACTTCTTGCGTTATTTGAATTGTACCAGCTCCAGTTTCTTCAGCAAATGTCATCGGTTTTGGTTTTTTGAGACGGACCTTGCCTGACATAGAAATCTCTTCTTCTTCGTATTGTTGCAATTGAATTTTGAACTCCTGCTCTACATCCTCCTTCTTTTTGGTGGTCTTAGGTTTAAATATAACGGTCTCGACTTCTTCCGGCTCTTCTATAACCGGTTTTTTCACTGTGATTTCTTCAGACGCCTCTTCAACAACCGGAGCCTTTTTAGGCTTCTGTTTTATTGTTACTTCCTCAGCTGCGTGGGCATCTTCAGATGGCTTATCGGGGACCACTCTCTTTACTGTAATATCGTCGGAAACATCCTCTTCCTGTTTCTTTGGTTTTTTCTTAAGAGTCAAAGTCTGGCCTGTTTCGTCACTCTCCGTAGGTTGTTCAGGAATACTCTTTTTAACTGATACCGTCTCCTCAGCTTCCTCAACAACAGGCCGTTCAGGCTTCATGGTAACAGTCAGGCTTTCACTGGGAACTTCTTCCTCTTCCGGCTTCTCAGGTTTGATTACTTTAATGGAAACAGTTTCAGCAGGTTCTTCAACTGCTAGCTTTTTCTGTTTCTTCTTTTTGACAACAACCCTCTCCTCAACTTCACCCTCTTCTTTTGGCTTTTCAGCCTCGGGTGCCTTTATGGTAATTCCATCATCATCGGTAACGGAAGGCTTTGACTTTTTTCTCTTCAAAGTAATAGCTGGAGTTAAATCCTCTTCGGGTTGAGGTACTTCCGGAATTGTTTTGTGAACAGTTAACGCGTCAGGAGCTTCATCTGCGTGTGGTTGGGTTTTTTTCTGGATTGTAAATGACTCTGCGGGCTCTTCCCTGTCGTCCGTAGGTTCTTCAGGTAATACCTTCTTTATGGTTACTTCTTCTGCAACTTCGTCAACAACAGTTGGTTTCGGCTTCCGTTTCTTCATGGTTACCTGAACGGATTCTTCGTCAACTGGTTCAGCAACTTTTCTGGCAGGCTTTGGAAGCGTTAACGATTCTTCAGGGCCTTTCTCTTCATCTGCAACAGGTTTCGGGAAAGGTTTCAAAGAAACCTCAGATGGAGAGTCGTCGGGTACAGGTCCTTGTTTTATTTTAAGTTTGATATCTTCTGGTTCCTCGTCAGGCTTTGGCTTGGGCACTCCAGGAACAAGAATGGATTCAATTACTTCTGGCTCAGGTTTTTTCTTGTCCGGCTTGACTCTCTTGGGCTTGATTTCGGGAACAACCTCTTTTTCTGGTTTTTCAAACGGCATTTTCTCCGGTGTTTCCAACTCGACCTCCTCGTGAGGAATATCGTAGGGCTCAAATGGTTTGAGATCTACCGTTTCTTCTTCTTTTGTTGGCTTTGTCTTTTCTTCATCCTTACTGCTTCTCTTTGGTTTCTTTTCTGTAGGTGCTTCTGGCTCTGCGGGCTTTTCAGGAATCTTTCGAAGCTTCACATCCTCCGGTTTTTCATCCATTTCTGGAACCGTTCCCTTTTTCAGCTCTAGCTTAGTTGGAGCAGGGGCTTCTTCTTCTGGTTTCTGAGGCTTCTCGTTGCGAGGCTTTGGTTCTAATTCCTCATCTGGTTTTGTGGGACCTTCTTCATCTTCAAAAGGCACATACTCTTCTAGTTCCGGACGATCCTCATCTTCTGGCAGCTTGACCTTCTTTCGCTTTTTCTTGAGAACCTTCATTGCCTCTTCAGCATTTCGGGATAGAACACCCGCATCTCGCTTGGCACCAATGTTTGTGATCACAGGAATATGTTCTTCTGGTGGGTAGGGAACCCGCGTGATTCGACTTTTCAGGAGGAACTTGGGCAACGATACGGACCTTCTATCGTCACGCTTAGCTGGAGTTGCCTTTTTAAGCTTGATTGTAGCTAACTGGGGCACTTCATCGACTGGAACCACCTGTACCTTCTTAGGCGTTGTCACGTCTGTTCGCACAATGGTTTGTTTTTCCAGTCCTTTCAGCTTTTCTTTCTTTTCCTGTTCAACCTGTTTCTTTTTAGGGACAAATGGGGTGGGTTCGTATTTTTCCAGAACCGGTCTCTCGATTTCTTCGTCTAAATCAACATCGAGGACAATGTCAGGCTTATCATCCGGCTTGGGCAACTTTTTCTTCTTTTTGACAATTTTCTTTTTTGATGTTGTGTCGTCGGCTGGAGTCTCTTCTGCATCGGGTTTGGAATCAGCCGGTAATGCTTCTGGACCGTCATCACGAGAAACGTCGGATACTGGAACATCATCTGCAACTACCGTTTCTTTTTGTTCGGGAACCAACCTTGGTTCAGGCTTCGAATCCTGCAAATCATCTTGTTTTTGTGGGGAAACGTCTTGTGTTTCTGTCGGTTCTTCATCTGTTTTTGTTGTATCTGGTTTGTCAACAGGGACCGACTTCTTTCGTTTTTTCTTAGAGTCCCTGTCCTTGACTGGCTTTAATTCCAAATCTTCGGCCTCTTCAGTGTGATCAGTGGGTTCCAGTTTAATTCCGGAATCAACCTCTGCGGGTTCTGGAGCAGGTTTATCTTTTGTAAATGGTTTGAGCTTGATCTCTTCTGGTTTATCTTCCGGTACAGGCCCCTGTTTAATTTTAAATTTGACGTCTTCTGGTTCTTTGTCTGGCTTTGGCTTGGGCACTCCAGGAACAAGAATGGATTCAATTACTTCTGGCTCGGGTTTTTTCTTGTCCGGCTTGACTCTCTTGGGCTTGATTTCGGGAACAACCTCTTTTTCTGGTTTTTCAAACGGCATTTTCTCCGGTGTTTCCAACTCAACCTCCTCGTGAGGAATATCGTAAGGCTCATATGGTTTCAGATCTACCGTTTCTTCTTCTTTTGTTGGCTTTGTCTTTTCTTCATCCTTACTGCTTCTCTTTGGTTTCTTTTCTGTAGGTGCTTCTGGCTCTGCGGGCTTTTCAGGAATCTTTCGAAGCTTCACATCCTCCGGTTTTTCATCCATTTCTGGAACCGTTCCCTTTTTCAGATCTAGCTTAGTTGGAGCAGGAGCTTCTTCTTCTGGTTTCTGAGGCTTCTCGTCGCGTGGCTTTGGTTCTAATTCCTCATCTGGTTTTGTGGGACCTTCTTCATCTTCAAAAGGCACATACTCTTCTAGTTCCGGACGATCCTCATCTTCTGGCAGCTTGACCTTCTTTCGCTTTTTCTTGAGAACCTTCATTGCCTCTTCAGCATTTCGGGATAGAACACCCGCATCTCGCTTGGCACCAATGTTTGTGATCACAGGAATATGTTCTTCTGGTGGGTAGGGAACCCGCGTGATTCGACTTTTCAGGAGGAACTTGGGCAACGATACGGACCTTCTATCGTCACGCTTAACTGGAGTTGCCTTTTTAAGCTTGATTGTAGCTAACTGGGGCACCTCATCGACTGGAACCACCTGTACCTTCTTAGGCGTTGTCACGTCTGTTCGTACAATGGTTTGTTTTTCCAGTCCTTTCAGCTTTTCTTTCTTTTCCTGTTCAACCTGTTTCTTTTTAGGGACAAATGGGGTGGGTTCGTATTTTTCCAGAACCGGTCTCTCGATTTCTTCGTCTAAATCAACATCGAGGACAATGTCAGGCTTATCATCCGGCTTGGGCAACTTTTTCTTCTTTTTGACAATTTTCTTTTTTGATGTTGTGTCGTCGGCTGGAGTCTCTTCTGCATCGGGTTTGGAATCAGCCGGTAATGCTTCTGGACCGTCATCACGAGAAACGTCGGATACTGGAACATCATCTGCAACTACCGTTTCTTTTTGTTCGGGAACCAACCTTGGTTCAGGCTTCGAATCCTGCAAATCATCTTGTTTTTGTGGGGAAACGTCTTGTGTTTCTGTCGGTTCTTCATCTGTTTTTGTTGTATCTGGTTTGTCAACAGGGACCGACTTCTTTCGTTTTTTCTTAGAGTCCCTGTCCTTGACTGGCTTTAATTCCAAATCTTCGGCCTCTTCAGTGTGATCAGTGGGTTCCAGTTTAATTCCGGAATCAACCTCTGCGGGTTCTGGAGCAGGTTTATCTTTTGTAAATGGTTTGAGTTTGATCTCTTCTGGTTTATCTTCCGGTACAGGCCCCTGTTTAATTTTAAATTTGACGTCTTCTGGTTCTTCGTCTGGCTTTGGCTTGGGCACTCCAGGAACAAGAATGGATTCAATTACTTCTGGCTCGGGTTTTTTCTTGTCCGGCTTGACTCTCTTGGGCTTGATTTCGGGAACAACCTCTTTTTCTGGTTTTTCAAACGGCATTTTCTCCGGTGTTTCCAACTCGACCTCCTCTTGAGGAATATCGTAAGGCTCATATGGTTTCAGATCTACCGTTTCTTCTTCTTTTGTTGGCTTTGTCTTTTCTTCATCCTTACTGCTTCTCTTTGGTTTCTTTTCTGTAGGTGCTTCTGGCTCTGCGGGCTTTTCAGGAATCTTTCGGAGCTTCACATCCTCCGGTTTTTCATCCGTTTCTGGAACCGTTCCCTTTTTCAGCTCTAGCTTAGTTGGTGCAGGAGCTTCTTCCTCTGGTTTCTGAGGCTTCTCGTCGCGTGGCTTTGGTTCTAATTCCTCATCTGGTTTTGTGGGACCTTCTTCATCTTCAAAAGGCACATACTCTTCTAGTTCCGGACGATCCCCATCTTCTGGCAGTTTGACCTTCTTTCGCTTTTTCTTGAGAACCTTCATTGCCTCTTCAGCATTTCGGGATAGAACACCCGCATCTCGCTTGGCACCAATGTTTGTGATCACAGGAATATGTTCTTCTGGTGGGTAGGGAACCCGCGTGATTCGACTTTTCAGGAGGAACTTGGGCAACGAAACCGACCTTCTATCGTCACGCTTAACTGGAGTTGCCTTTTTAAGCTTGATTGTAGCTAACTGGGGCACTTCATCGACCGGAACCACCTGTACCTTTTTAGGCGTTGTCACGTCTGTTCGCACAATGGTTTGTTTTTCCAGTCCTTTCAGCTTTTCTTTCTTTTCCTGTTCAACCTGTTTCTTTTTAGGGACAAATGGGGTGGGTTCGTATTTTTCCAGAACCGGTCTCTCGATTTCTTCGTCTAAATCAACATCGAGGACAATGTCAGGCTTTTCATCTGGCTTTGGCACCTTTTTCTTCTTTTTGACAGTTTTCTTCTGCAGTGTCGTGTCGTTGGAAGCTGTCTCTTCTACCTCCGGTTTCGACTCAATTATAACTTTTGAATCTTCTTCCTGGGGTTCAGTTTTCTCGGGAATGTGGGCAGATTCATCAAGTACTGTTTCCTCTTTTGGTGTCTCAATTATTTCAAGGGGTACTGACTTTTTGCGCTTTGTTTTCTTTTCCGTTGCCTTTTCCGGTTTTGTCGTTGTCTCGGGCCTTTCTTCCTGCACCGGTTTGTCCGATGTTTCCTCATTTGTCTCTTGTGGTGTTTCTAAGGGTGTTTCTTCTTCTGCGGTCTTTGGTTTTTGTTTTGTACGTTTTACTTTCTTAGGTATGTCATCAGGTGCCACTGTTTCCTCTGACACCGTTTCTGGGACAACCTTATCCTCCAGCGAGGCCTTGTTCAGTACTAATGGCTTTTCTTCTGTGATTCTTGGCGTTTCTTTTTCCAAAGGCGTTTCTTGTAGGTTTTCTGTTACTTCAAAACTCTCCTGTGGAATCTCTTCATTGAGAGGCGTTTGTATTGATTTCTTTCTAAGAACTTTTTTCTTCTTTCCTTTCTCTTTGTCTACCATTTCAAACTGTTTTGGACTTAAATCTTCTTCAGGTCGTTCGGAGTCAAATGGCAGCGGAACACCTACATCAATGTCTTTTGGCTTTTTCTCTTCCTCTGGCTTTTCTTTTGTCCATGGCTTTAGTTTGATTTCTTCAGGCTCTTCTGGTGTAGGCACTCCTTGTTTCTTTTTAAGTGTTATATCATCCGGCTGCTCAGGTAACACTGTCTTTGGAGTGCCTTTCTTTAACAGGGTCTCCTCTGTTTCCGGTGTCTTGCTAGGTTTTTTCTTGCGTTGTCGTGCTTTTGGTTCAAGTGTTTTCTGCTTATCTGGTAGTTCTGGGGTTTCTTCGGGTGCAGGCATTTCGTCTTCAAATCCGCTGGGGACCGGTGAGATTCTTGGTATAGGCCCCATGGTCAGTTCTTCGTCTTCAGGGGCTTTTGTTTCATCGGAAGTTGTGGGCTTAACATCTTTCATGGGAATAACCTCTTCTGGTTCATTTTCAGTTGGTTTAGTTGGAATTTTCTTGAGGGTTACTTTTTCTTCAAGCTCATCAGCAACTGGAATTTTTCCTTTGCCAATTTTTAGCTTTTTTGGCGTTGGTTCATCACTTGGTTTTCCTACCTTTGGCTCTGGTGACCACGTATCTTCTAGCTTTGCTTGTTGTACCTCCTGAATATCGTCTTTATCAAATTGAACTTTTTCTAAAACCGGTCTTTCAAGGTCTTCCGGCAACTCGACTTTAACAGGTTTTGATTTCAAAACTTTTAAAGCTTCTCGAGCATTGCGGGAAAGAATGCCTTGGTCAAGTTTGGATCCAAGATACGTGACGATAGGTTTCTGTTCTTTTTGAGTCTCAGGTGGAAAGTCAACAAATCGAATTCTACTTTTTAATTTCGGGACTGAAAATGACACCCGTTTTGGCTGGTCTTTTTTCTGCAATGGAGCCTTTTTTAGCTTAACCGTGGCAAATTGTGGCTGTTCTGGCTCAGTGACAAGTGGTTTCTGAGCCTTAATTTCCTTGCGCTCAAGTTTGATAGGTTGTAGTTTTTTTGTATCAGAAATCTTTTCTCCGTTCGTTTTCACGTCTTTCAGCACTTCCCGGTTCTCCTTAGGACTCTTTCTTTTCTTTGGCTTTCCTTCACGCTCTTCAATCGTAACGTCTTCTGCAGTTACCTTTGGGACAACGGGCGACGTGATTTCTACTGAGGTTGTCTGTTCTTGTGGCCTTTTTTCATCCAGTACAGTAGTTTTGTCTTCTTCTTTTTGTTGCAACTCTAATGGGACCTTCTCGGCTGCAACCAGTCTACTATGCTCTGTGGATGGAATTGGGGTGACGTTACCTGCAAGAATTAAAATTACAATTAAACAGTGGTAATGTTTTATTACGGTGACGACTATTAGCACTGTTTGGCAGCTCCTAGCAGTGCTTGGTCCCAGAAAGGAAGGCTGGTGCCGGTAACGTCACACGGAGTCCAACAACGACGCGTGGCTTGCGCAGAAGCGGCCAGGGTGGCTGCTGCAGCCGATTCGGGTAGCTGATCGCCCCTGTCCAGGTTTGCGTAAAAGGGTTACGTATTTCTTTCAGCTACTATGGGATGCTTCAATAAGCTAAGATCTGTTCAAATCGCCGCTCGTCAGGCCCTTGGCTGAAGGCAGCGGTCCCTCCACGCAAATCTGATTGAGATCGGACGGCTGAAAAAATCAGCTAACCCGATCACGGAGACGCGAGTCAAGCCGGTCACTTAGCCATCGAGTGACAGCAGTGCTGTGGTTAAGACGCCGGCGGAAACATAAACACTTCCATTCCTATGGCTGGCCCTGGCAGTTCCGAGCAACCACCGAATCTCTACACTGTTTCTGCTAGCCTAACCAAGAGCTTTGTCATGTACAGAGGTTGTATCCATAAGACACTATGTGAAACATAGGACAAACAAGAATAAGGATTTTGTTTTACAACTCATCTTTTGTGAATCATTTTAAAGAATCTAAAACGACCAAATTTCTGGATCAAAAGTAGCATTATTCTCTTCTATGGAGAGGCAAAGTCTTTAACTCCTATTACCTTCTCCAACGCAAAGCTAACGTTGTAAGGAACCCTGCATCAAGGCAAATTATGAGCACCTGAAAGGTTACCTCGTAGACAATTCTGGTAGAAAAAAACATTACAAAGAAATATGTTTTGTTTCATTTATTAATTGGTATGGGCTATCTCTGATTACGACCAAAACGCGAGAGAATGTGTCATTTGGAGGTAATGATTGACCCGCGCTAAGTTTGTTTCGATGCAGTGTTGCGTAGCAACGATGACGATGCTGCTGAAAAGTAAGTAGCAAGAGAGCGTGGTGTGGCAAGACATTGCGAGTCTTCTCCTTTTACAACGGGAATATAAAGGACAAATTTTAATAGAATTTTTAAAGTATAGTTACTAATAAAAGCATAAGACTTTTGCCTTAAACGTGATGTGTCGTTTTATGTTATAGTCTTTAACGCATCAACAATTAAAATTGCGTTTCATTAACGTATTCTTGTGCTAGCTGCGTATCTCGTTGCTATGAAGTCATGGACAGATGTTCAATTTTTAAATCACGGACTGGTACCCTCCTTCTGAAAGATATGTTACATTTGACTAAAAAAACTGTGGATTATAGTTTGGACTCGTTAGTGTTACTAAGTCACTACTAGCCCGTTTTGTTCCGCTCTCCTGAAGAGAATTTTGTGTCCAAGTACAATTAAAAGTTTAAAACCGGTTTAAGTGAAAGTTTTCATACCTTCAATGCTGTATTGTGGTAGGCTCGTATCCGAAGAAAGGGTTGATATGGGCAGAGGTACTTCTGAAAAATCAGTGTTATCCAATGTTTGTTGATCTGATGTGCCTGTATCATCTTTCGTGAGTGTTTTGCTATCAACAGCAAGCGACTTATCTTTCTTTGTCTTTTTCACCTTAGGGCGGGTAAGTTTTGGCGTCTCGTCTGCTACCAAGTCAAACGTTTCTTCAGGTGCAGTTTTGTCAGCCGGTAGGGACTTAGATTCTTCCAATGAAAACTTCTCACCAATTTCTTCGGAACCAGATGGTTGTTTTATGTCTGGCAGTTTTTCCAAATCTCCTCCTCTTGGAACATCGACAGTTTTATCATCAACTTGCTTAATTTTGTTAATTGGTTGCTGATCTTCGCTTGCATTAGGAGACAAGCCCTTTTCCTTGCTTTCCTTTAAAACGTTCAAATCTTTTACTACTAGTTCACCAAGCTTAATCGGGCCGCTACCTGGAACTGCTTTTTGAGGTAACTGTCTACCCTTTTTCACTGTTTTTGGAACATATGGGGTAGGCTCGTACATTTCTAATACAGGCCTTTCGTAATCATCATCACTGAATAAAAATTCTTCCACATCTGGAGTGGTTTGAGAATCTTCCACATCCTTATCAATTGGTTTATTTTTCTTCACACGTCTGACCTTTTTCAAAGCAGATGGCTTATTTTCCTCTGGAAGGCTAACAGAGGGCTGGGTGGACTCATCAATTAAAGGGGAAGAAAAAGCAATGTCGGGCGAAACGTCAATTACAGACTGCAATCTAGAGGGCAGTGGCTTAAACCTTTGCGTTATTTCCACTTGTGGCTCTTTTCCCTCCTCGAAAGTAGTTACTTTCTCTGTAACAACAAGACTATCCCCGCCAATTTTACTCTCTTTGCGTCGCTTGATGATTTTCTTCTTTCCCCCATCATTAAATTCAGTAACCTGTTCCGAAACTTTAACCGCTTCGTCACTGGAAGGCAAAGTAAAAGCAATATCCTGCGGCAAAACTTTAGAGTATTCTGAAACTTCAATAATGGGTTCGGATCCATCTTCAAAAACTGTAGCAGTTTCGGTAACGTGCTCGACACCATTCTTCACTTTGCGAACAATATGTTTCTTAATACGCTTCTTCCGCCCTCCATCAACAACATCGGAAACATTATCAAGTTCCTGGACAAAATCAGGTAAACTTTCAAAATCAGATGCATCCTCTTCAGGAAATTCAACAACAAAAGGAGACGATTCAGGGACTGACTCCTCGTTCAGGCGCACGTTAACCTCGCTTACTAATGCGGTATCAAAGCATTCGTCAAGAGAATTGGAGGCGAGAGAAACGTCTCGCTTCACAAGGTCGAGTGGCTCAGTTTCTCCGTCAATAATCTCTTCTATTTCTGGTTCGCGCAGCTTTTTCTTGGGCATCTTTCGCACCGTTTCCTTGACATCAACCTGGGCGTCCTTGCCGTCTTCCTCCACGGTGGTCGTCTCCGTAACCTTCTCCTCGTCACCCTTGATCTTCTTTACAATCTTCTTCTTGATTGTCTTTTTCTTTCCAGCCTCCAGTACCTCGGTGACGTGCTCGGAGACCTTGGTTTCTTCCTGAACGTCCATGGTGGCAGTGACCTCCTCCGGTCCCTCGAGAGCCAGTGGCTGCGCTTCTTCGTCAGTGATCTCTTGTATTTCTGGTTTGCGCAGCTTTTTCTTGGGTATCTTTCGCACCGTTTCCTTGACATCAACCTGGGCGTCCTTGCCGTCTTCCTCCACGGTGGTCGTCTCCGTAACCTTCTCCTCGTCACCCTTGATCTTCTTTACAATCTTCTTCTTGATTGTCTTTTTCTTTCCAGCCTCCAGTACCTCGGTGACGTGCTCGGAGACCTTGGTTTCTTCCGGAACGTCCATGGTGGCAGTGACCTCCTCCGGTCCCTCGAGAGCCAGTGGCTGCGCTTCTTCGTCAGTGATCTCTTGTATTTCTGGTTTGCGCAGCTTTTTCTTGGGTATCTTTCGCACCGTTTCCTTGACATCAACCTGGGCGTCCTTGCCGTCTTCCTCCACGGTGGTCGTCTCCGTAACCTTCTCCTCGTCACCCTTGATCTTCTTTACAATCTTCTTCTTGATTGTCTTTTTCTTTCCAGCCTCCAGTACCTCGGTGACGTGCTCGGAGACCTTGGTTTCTTCCGGAACGTCCATGGTGGCAGTGACCTCCTCCGGTCCCTCGAGAGCCAGTGGCTGCGCTTCTTCGTCAGTGATCTCTTGTATTTCTGGTTTGCGCAGCTTTTTCTTGGGTATCTTTCGCACCGTTTCCTTGACATCAACCTGGGCGTCCTTGCCGTCTTCCTCCACGGTGGTCGTCTCCGTAACCTTCTCCTCGTCACCCTTGATCTTCTTTACAATCTTCTTCTTGATTGTCTTTTTCTTTCCAGCCTCCAGTACCTCGGTGACGTGCTCGGAGACCTTGGTTTCTTCCGGAACGTCCATGGTGGCAGTGACCTCCTCCGGTCCCTCGAGAGCCAGTGGCTGCGCTTCTTCGTCAGTGATCTCTTGTATTTCTGGTTTGCGCAGCTTTTTCTTGGGTATCTTTCGCACCGTTTCCTTGACATCAACCTGGGCGTCCTTGCCGTCTTCCTCCACGGTGGTCGTCTCCGTAACCTTCTCCTCGTCACCCTTGATCTTCTTTACAATCTTCTTCTTGATTGTCTTTTTCTTTCCAGCCTCCAGTACCTCGGTGACGTGCTCGGAGACCTTGGTTTCTTCCGGAACGTCCATGGTGGCAGTGACCTCCTCCGGTCCCTCGAGAGCCAGTGGCTGCGCTTCTTCGTCAGTGATCTCTTGTATTTCTGGTTTGCGCAGCTTTTTCTTGGGTATCTTTCGCACCGTTTCCTTGACATCAACCTGGGCGTCCTTGCCGTCTTCCTCCACGGTGGTCGTCTCCGTAACCTTCTCCTCGTCACCCTTGATCTTCTTTACAATCTTCTTCTTGATTGTCTTTTTCTTTCCAGCCTCCAGTACCTCGGTGACGTGCTCGGAGACCTGGTTTCTTCCGGAACGTCCATGGTGGCAGTGACCTCCTCCGGTCCCTCGAGAGCCAGTGGCTGCGCTTCTTCGTCAGTGATCTCTTGTATTTCTGGTTTGCGCAGCTTTTCTTGGGTATCTTTCGCACCGTTTCCTTGACATCAACTGGGCGTCCTTGCCGTCTTCCTCCACGGTGGTCGTCTCCGTAACCTTCTCCCGTCACCCTGATCTTCTTTACAATCTTCTTCTTGATTCTTTTTCTTTCCAGCCTCCAGTACCTCGGTGACGTGCTCGGAGACCTTGGTTTCTTCCGAACGTCCATGGTGGCAGTGACCTCCTCCGGTCCCTCGAGAGCCAGTGGCTGCGCTTCTTCGTCAGTGATCTCTTGTATTTCTGGTTTGCGCAGCTTTTTCTTGGGTATCTTTCGCACCGTTTCCTTGACATCAACCTGGGCGTCCTTGCCGTCTCCCCACGGTGGTCGTCTCCTCCTTCCCTCGTCACCCTGTCTCTTTACAATCTTCTTCTGATGTCTTTTTCTTTC